AGTCCCAGCAAAAAAGCCAAATTCCAAGTGATTTGGCATGGTAAGATCTTGGACTGAATTTCATCAAAGGCTTAGAGTTTTCAAACAAACTCTCTTGATTTCTGTAGGCAATTATGTAATTATATTGGCACATATATTTTTCCATTTCAATAACAAAGTCACAAAGATCTTTATGTTCACAGACATCTTAAATACTGTAAAGGAAAAATAGTACACTGATATAAACTCACACAAATTCCAAACAGGGGCATGATTTTCTAATTTTTCCCTTCAGGGTCAGTAAGAATGCATTCCAGACAGAGGAACAAGGAGGGAGAGCTCCCCTTTGCCAACTCCCTTCCTCCACCAAAACATAAGTTTTATTCAGACACAAGATACTTTATTAGCCAAGTCTCCTCCATTCCGCTTTGATCTTTTGAGCCCAGTTGAATAGGACTGGTTACACAGCTCTCAGCATACATTTGTGGGCAGATTTCTGCTTGCATACACAGTATATATATCTTTGATCAAGACCAGCTGAGAATACTGGCCTAAGTGGGCAGATTTGGTAGAATTCTGAACCTTGACTATTCTATTAAGGCTAAGAGGTTCCTACTACTTTCTAGAAGTTTTTTGCTCGTGGAATGAATTCAGTATAACCACATAAGGAAGCAGAGTGAAAACAACTAAAATAATTTCTTCTCCTTCTTGATTATAGCAAAACAGACTCAACACAGAGTATGGCTTATAAATTCTAAGCATATGATCACAGACAGGAGCCACAAGCCATGAATGCCAAGTAAACACATACCAAGTTAAATGTCAGAGTCAAAACCAGCACAATTTATGCATCAAAATTAATGATAAGTATTTAGTGATAAGCATAATCACTGTAATTGCTCAACTAAGTGGGAAGGCTCTGAAGCCCACACATCCTCTTCAGTCCTACTCCAACTCCCAAAGGGCACAGGCCCTGCTCTAGCAAGGAAGGCCTGGGGGCCATTTACTCTTTCTATTCATTCCACAGGCCAGAAATAAGCTAGGATATGTGACACAAAGAAAAGACTCCCGCATAATTCCTACTCAGAGTCTTAAATAAGCCATTCAGAGATACCAGAAACGTCTTTCATTGGTAAAAGTCTAGTACCTAGCACGCAGTCAAGACCAATTTGTTAAAAGGATGACGGTCTAGGAGGATCGGGGGTTATTTGTGTTGTGAGATGAGAGAGACTGGCAGGCATGGCAGTGGTGATTCTTAGAAATGTACTCATAGTGAAAACTGGCTAATTGGTTTGCTTTCCTGACATCTAGTACCCAAAGAACTGGGAGTTTTAAGGAACATGAGGGCACTGAAGTCCTAGAAAGAGAATATGTATTAGAAAAAGAGCCCCTCAAAAAAACCCACCTCTTGTATCAAGAATAGGTTTTATTTTCATCATAAGGGAAAAACATGTTTCGTTTCCTTTTTGGCAATGTGTGTGTGCATATGTATTTATATGAGATGATGGATGCAACTAACTGATTGTGGTGATCATTTCACAATATATGTAAGCAGGTAATTATGCTGTACACTTAACCTTACACAGGCCTCTATTTAAGGTATATTTCAATAAAACTGAAAGAAAAAATAATTAAATGGCATAATGAATGCAAAATTCCAGGCATGGAATGAACATGGAATAAATGCCATTGGTGGCGGTCCCATTCACTCCCAAATCCATTTACAGCTGGGTGAGCCAGGGGCGGAGACAAGATGCTTGCAACGGCCTGACTATGACGCCACTCCTAGGGAAGAGCCCAGATTTGGGCTTGGTTTTGATTGGGAGGGGACAAGACTGTTGTGGCCTGCTTAGAATCTTTGCTTACTTGAACTACCCCCAAGAGGGATTTCAGAATGCATTCCAAGATGGAAGGACACAGGACTTCCGATCCAACTCTAATCATTCAGGAAAATGAGAAGAATTTTCATCCCGTCTGTGTTATAAATGACCCACTGAGGTTCTTTCCTAAAAGCAAACAATGGTGACATCCTTTCCAATTTATATTGATAGTCCGGTGCTTTCCAGCTGGCAGTGCAAGTTAAGATCAATTAATACCTCCCCCTGCCTGCTTCTGAATGTCTTATAAGTGCCAAGAATAATTATCTCTTTATAAATCACACAAGGAAATGCTGATCTAATTAAAAGAGGTAATTTCATTATAATACAGAATTTGTGAAACCTTGTGGACAGAAAACCCTTTTGTTGGGTAACTGAAATAATAGCCCTGAAATAGCTTTCCTGAAAACTGAAAATAATGTGCAATATATTATTTATATCAGAAGAAGGTGGTACAGGATGATCATTCACAGAGTTACTATACTCTGGCATTAAAGAATAACTCTTCAAAGTACTTTAAACCAGCACAAGTTATTAATATAATAACAAACTTTGTAATAGAAGTTCACATGTCCAATTATGACATATGGTTTTCATAGAGGAAACCGATTGAAGACAGCTGTGTCTGAAGTATGTTTTGGAATGCAGACTCATAAAGGGTAATTACAGTAGTATAGCAGGCCTTCACTCTGCCACTGATTACCACACACACACACACACACTTTGTAAGGAGCCTTTCGTAGGAGGGATCTAAACACAAAGTCCTACTTACTGACAGGTCTAGATCAACTTCCACAGCAATGTTGGTTTAGAAGATAGAAGTGATATCACTTTATATGTTACCCAATACCAAGCTTTGCTCTATGGTGGAAAAGCCTTGGGTGGTAGTGGACCTTTGACCTGCAGTGGAAGGCAGTATGATGCGGTAAACAACTTTAAAAATCAGAAATCCTGATTCATTGTCCTGCTTCTTCAGCTGACCAGAGCTGTAACTTCAGACAAGCCTATTAATGCTGTGGCTTATTTTGCTCATCCATAAGGATAAGGGATTGCCCCTTGCCCACTTATTTTATATTAAAATTCATCTTACAGAAGGCTATGAAATCACTGGCTTTCCACATCTTCCTAGGGAAGTAGGTGGTTTTCAAATACGTCCACAAATTCTTTGATATTCCTCCCTTTGAAAAGTGGAATCAACTTCACCTCTCTGGATTATGCGACTGTCACAATAAACAGATGCAGCAGATGTGACCCTGTGTGACCTACCAGGCTACATCATTAGAAGTAGGATGATCTCTTTCTCTCGCTCTCACTCTTAGTTTCTCTCCCACTCTCTCCCAGGGCAGATGCCTTTGGATCTCTGAGCCAGTGTAAGATATCCAGCTACTCTGGCACCATCATGCTAGAGAAAACCACATACAGAAATATATAGAGGCCCAAGGAATGTCAGCTACTGAATCGTCCAACCCAGGGGACTGACATGTGAGTGAAGACGCCTTGGAGATTATGTCAGCCCCAGCCACTATCTATAATCTCATAGGAAAACTTAAACTAGGACTACTCAAATAAGCCACTCCTAAATTTCTGACCCACACAAACAGTGAGAGGTAATAAGTGATTATTATCATTTAAGCCACTCAATTTTGGGGTCATTTGGTATGCAGCCACAATAACTGGAAAAGGAACCTTGATAGAATCAAAACTAGGGGTTCTTGCATCCACAAGAACCTCAGGAAAGAAGACTTGGAAGTCTTCAAGAATGAGGAAGGTAGGCACAATTCCCAGTAAATGCCACAAAAAGACACTAGAAATAATCACCTGTTTATTTAGAAACTGGGCAACCTTTATAAAATATAATAAAGGCTAAAAAATGTATTTATAAATAAATAATATATTCCACATCCATAGTTAAAGAAATATAATAAGAATGACCCTACATGGGACCATTTAAAATCAGCAGCAAGGCCAAAGATAAAGGAACAAACTGGGGCATCCTTCAGTCATTTCTTTGCAGGGGTGACACCACTGCTCGCAGGCTTTCTGCCCCATGCCTCTCCCAACAGTCTTTGCAGTTGATAAAGTGCAAGTGTTCCTGCAAACATGCCTCCAAATAATTCTGAAAAGTAGGACTTCTCCTTTTAAAAAGACAAGGAATAGAGTTGGAGTTCAGTAAGGAAGATAACGCCTATCACTGTATGGGAGATAGTGAATTTGGGATACCCCATGTATCCCGATAAAGCTGAACCAAAGGTGGCCCTCAAGAGACAGCAAATGGTGGCCCGCAGGCAGGGTTCAGCCACAAACCTATATTTTTTTCTTCCTGGCCCATGCAGTGTTTCCAAAATAGGAAATTTCACATAAAAGTCTAATTTCTAGCTTTTCTTGAAACACTCAAGTTCTAGCAATCATGGGTATGCATTAGCACCTGATCTCAATTAGCAGGAGCTGATTAGCTATTTCTCACTTTAGACAGAATATATTGTCTCTCTTTGCCACAATCCCCTCCACTCCCTATTGTTTTACACTTGGGTTCACTCCATGTACTTACTTCATATTTCTTTCCCTGTGGCATCTGCATTTATGTCTGGTGACCTATATCAACAGAAGAGTTTCAGACTCTAAACTCTGGTGTTTCTTGGTCGCTCTCGGTTTGAAACTTTTGGTGGTTTGGAGATTCCAATAAATTCTGCTGTTGTGCTCTTGCCAATTTCTCTCCCTAAACTACAAATGTGGGACCATGACAAACCCTTATGCCTAATAGTTATATAAACCACTTTACAACACTGTTAGTGAATATACTGGGGGTGCAAAAGGTGACTTTGGAAATATATACTGAGCTTATTTGATACATCTAAATGATCTTTAAAATACAAACCGTGTCCATACAGGGGTCTAACATTTCTAGTCAAAGTTAATGTAGAAGAGAATCAATTGTCAGTCAGCTCTGAGATTAGGATGAACAGAAACAGAACAATGAAATCTATGTATTGTAAAGTGAAACAATTTAATCACTTACTACAGAGTATCTTCAAGGCAATTTCTAGGGAGGAAGTTCTTAGGTAGTGAGGGAATTTGCTGAGGACTTAAGACAGCATTTCTAAGCCTGGGTGACTGTGTGTATGTGAATTAGAGAAAACAACTCACCAATTCCAAACACTGTCTGTGGCCATAGGCGGCAGCGTAATGTATGCTATTGTAGCCTTCTTTGTCCCGGATAGATGGATTTGCATCATTTTGAAGCAGAAACTCTAGACATTATTCCAAACACTGTCTGTGGCCATAGGCGGCAGCGTAATGTATGCTATTGTAGCCTTCTTTGTCCCGGATAGATGGATTTGCATCATTTTGAAGCAGAAACTCTAGACATCTGTAAGCATAAAGATGATATGTTAAAATATATCTGGGCCAAAAAGAGTAATTAATGTAAATTTTCTCCTGTTATGAATGTTCCACAAAGCACTTTGTGGAGTTTAAGTGTTTCTTTAAAAATCCTACAGCATTGAGGTTTTATGTACTAGAAGTTTTATATGTGTGTGTTTTCTGCAGCTATCTTTATATCAGCTGAAAATAGCAATTCTAGAATTCAGGAAAGGCTTCAGGAACAAGAGGGCAATTAAGATTTTTTTTCCTTCTCATCTTAAGGTACAGAACCTGTCTGCCATCAAGATTACTGAATAATAAGTTATAGAGCTCCATGTTCAAATGACCAAGTCTCAAATATAATAAAGAGTGATCAGGCCACTGCAACAAGGCAAACCTCCAGAGAGAGGGGTTTACTTTTGGCCTTTGTTCTGGAGACTCTAAGATCAAAAGGGTGGAAAATGAAAGAAAGAGTAAGAAAACAACAATAAAGAACCTAAGAATAACTGAAACAATAAAAAGATTAAAGGTATGGGTAAACATTCAAAAAGAAGTTTAATTCAGTCACCGCACCTGAAGAAAGAGGCTTAAACTTCCCTATTAGGAATGCAGACTAGAATAAAATAATAAATAATAAAATTGAAAAGCCTTTTCCAACAGAGTTGTAATTTTTCTGAAAAAGCCTCGAGCTGCAGCAGGTGAGAGGGAGCAGTGTGGCTTCCCCTTTGCTGTAGAGCTCCTGACTCCAGGACACAAGCTCCCCCGCCCTGTAGTGAGTTCTGCTCAGGCAGGGCCTGTTACAAGCAATGCGATCCTGCTGGTGAAAAGGGAATAACGAGGCAGAGAGCACCACTCCACAGTTTTCAGTTTTACTTTGTGACCATAGGACAAACATATCTTTTACGAGGCCAAGCTGATTTGACTGCATACTCAAATCAACATGGTAGGATTCTAAATACTGGCCTGTAAATTAAATAAGACCTTCTAACAGAAAATGTCTACAGTTTAGTCAAAAACTTCTAAATGACATTTATCTATTTTTGGCATAAGGCAAAAGAAGTAAATAAATCATGCAAGGAGACAATTAAAATGGGTAATTTAGTTTCTAGAAAAACTGATGAGACATACATTTTTTTAAATCAAATGCCTATATGTCATATGATTTATCCATAAAATGCCTCAAAGTAAATCAAACTATTACTGGAACCCTGATATCATGCTGTCTTTAGTAATTTGCACCTTAAAAGGAAGTCTTTTTTTATTTTGGTAATTCAATGCCTGGGGACAGGATCCCAGGTGTGACTAATTTGAAACTGAATTTGGCCTTAAAATCATTCAATTGGAATAGCATCCAGTTGAACACACAATCCCCAGCTTCTGGAAGGATTACATTCTAAAAATTAGTTGACAAATTTAGTATTTCATTTGGAAAGCACTTGGAATTGCTCCCAAAGAGTTATTTAACCCAGGATACAGCCAAATTATACCACCAACAGCACTATTAGAAATAACAACAGTCCTATAGAATTTGAATATTCTCTATATTGTTTCTACGGAAAAATGAATTCCAGTTTTCCTGGGACTGCTCATCTTTTCTTTACCCAGAGCCCTGATGGCAAGCAAATTTCACCACCTTAGCTGTACATCAAGAGGTGCACATTGAGCCAAGAGTGTATCTAGTCAAGGGAACTAGATACTGCATAAAAGAGCTCTGACTCCCTGGCCTTCCCCTGCTCCCTCCCTCTCCATCAACTGGAAGAGGCTGCTCTGGCCCATGGCAAGCTTGCCTTTCACTGGAGAAGGGGACATTTGCTGAGGGGGCTTAAAAGTATAGTCTTTGAGTATCATTATTTTCTGTTTGTAACATTAGGGCAAAACCTTGGTCATTCTGTTGTAGTCATGGCTACATTTCCTGTCCCCACCTTAGTAACAATAAAAACTGTGTCCTCCAACCTATACCAGGGCCATGCTCTAAACGCCCCTCCCACAATGACATGGGAGGAGAGCCCAATGGGTAATGGGAAGACCCTAGACAGACACAAGCATTCAGGTCACAGAGAAACTGGTTCTTCTGACAACTGGAGAAGAGAATAACCAAGTTAAGGCCTGTGTGTGGACAGACTCTTAGAGCACTATTTCCATTGGGTCTCAGGGGGCAGGACACAAAGGGTGGGCACCATTCATTTATTTGACAGTTATTGAACACCACCTGCATGCTGGGCACAGCCTTCTCACTGTGACATGCAGTGCAAGAAGGACTCTTAGAGGACACGGTATTAGAGCTGGCCATGGATCAGCACCCTGGGGTGACAGCAGTCATTCCAGCCACCAACTACTCCGTAACAGCTAAATCTCCATCAGAAGCTGGTGGGAGGCCAGTGGGCAGAGGTGGGACAGGAGCAGCTGCTTACAGGGAACTGGGGCTACTTGTAAGTTGTGTGTGTGCCACAGAGGGAGGGGAGAGTGTAACGGCTGTCTTTCACAACAAAATCTTTTATTTATAGAATCTGCTGAATAGTTATCACCCCAGGTCATTAAAGTAGGGCCTAAGGCCCCAAGAGGAGGCTTAATATATGCCCTGAGACACATGATACATGGTAGAGTCAGAAATGATATTTAGGACACCTGGTCCTAAAGACTGCTACCAATTGCAGGGTTATGGAAAGGTTTCAATTTTAGAAAGAGTTTCTTGGGTGAAAATACCATAATTGAAGGATATATTAAAAAAACAGTTTCTTCTTCACTAAGCAAGCCCTCATCACTTTCTCAAAATCCCAAGTGAAACCCCAAAATAGCAGGGCTTGGCCCACGTGTCAACCCAGAGAAGCAGACAAAGATCAGTTACTGCACCTCATGCTTAAGCAGGCAAGAAACTTACAATGCAGCTTCCTTTTCCTTCATGTCTCTGGCTCTTTCAAGCTCTTCTGAATTTTCATGGGCATTTCCTAAGATAGTTTTACTTCTCAGCATAAAGGAAAGAAAAAAATTACAATGAACTTTTTAAATTAATGGCAAAGTTGTTAATGATTTCCATGCAACTTTTATCTCATAAATTTCCCCCAACCCAAAACAAATAAGTACTATTGATTTTTCGTTGAGGATTACATAGTTCTCTCCAAGGCCATCCAGTAAATCTTTTCTTTCCCCAGGACTCCAACTATGAACATGATTTTCCTCAAACTTCCACCCAGGTATCAGTGACTGAGGTAACGATCAAGTTGTCCACGCCTCCGGAAATATCCAAAACTCCCCAAGTAAAAAAGAGGCAATGTAGGTTAAATTTCTCTGACCCTGACCACCTTCCTTACTGCCTGCCTGTCAACTCAGCATCTCATTTATCCAGGAATGGGGTCCTAGTCACCCCTCATCTGCCAGAGCAATTCCTCATCACCTAGGATTCCTTGTCCAGCTCTTAGCAGATGAAGATTACTTGGTCTCCCTTTCTACACCAGGTGAATAGCATAGAGACTGGCACATAGTAGATGCCCAACAAATGTTGGTCACAATAATCACCTGCATGACTCTGAAATCCTGAGTGCTGCACTGGACTCGCCAGTGTTATAAACATGAAGAGAAAAACAAGCAGCATTTACCAAACCAGAAATATGGACCATAATCCATTACTGAATTATGAAACCAATTTAGTGGGTGGCAATCAGTAGGTTTTTTTTTTAATGAAAGAAAGAGAAAATATCAAAATGCACCACACATAGTAAAAGTAAATAAGGTTTTTAAATGAAATTTTTGTTCCCATTTTATATACATATATAAAACATATATATATGTGCATATTGGGTCATGAAGTAAAATGTATTTCTACCGTCTAAAACTTTTGAAAGCCATTGCCCTATGAGAAAAAGAGTTAGCACTGATTCAGAATCATTCCAAAGCACAGGTCAGCAATGACTCAACAGTTCTCCAAACACGGTCACCAAAAAAGCATACCTATGAGAGGCCCTGGTCTTCAAGTCTTTGAGAACCATCTCAATAAGCTGTGGGCACCTCTCCCACTTTTTTCCCTGAAGTGGTTCACTTATTTCTGCTTTCTAGTCCTAGCCACCTACAGTCCAAATGTATTCAGGGTGACCCATTTCCTTCCTCGAGCTCCTGAAAGAGCATTCATGCCCAGGTTTGGAACAGGTGTACCCAATTTACACATGTTGCCACTGCATTTGAAGGCCACTGCAATTATGTAGAGGGATATTTTTGAGATATGACATATTTATTAGCAAATATAAGTTTTACAGCAAATGAAGCATTTAAGTGGTGGTGATGAAAACTGCAATATATGACAAAATTAATTACGACACATTTTGAATGAACTGAAAACCTGGGCTTGACAGCTCCTCTTGGCATTAAGCCCAACGAACAGAGATGGGAAGTAATTGTGCAGCGACACATTAATAGTCAAACATAAAGAGAACGGAATGGGAAAACAGGGGATATGGATGAAGCAATTCTGACTCCTCTGAGTCTGAATGAGAGAGATTCTTCACTCACAGTATCTATGAGGCAGAATAAAGAAAACTTAGCAAACACTCCCACCCCCAGAGGAATCATGAGCAAGGCTATTTTTACTTTCTTTCCATGTCTGATGCAGCAGCGTAGTGCAAAGCTGTCCGTCCCCAGTCATCTGTTTCATTAACATTGGCCCCTGTGGTCACTAATGTCTCAATACAGTGGAAGTGACAATTTGCAGCTGCATAGTGCAAAGGGGTCCTGAAAAACAAACAGAAATTTACTATTTCATTCAGTCTGGAAGACAGAACCCCATCATTAGCACTAGCATGGACAGCAATATTCCTAATGGTGTGTAACATTAGGGCAAAACCTTAGTCATTCTGCAGTACTCACGGCTATGTTTCTATCCCTGCGGCTCTCAGAGTGTAGAAGATATGCCTTCCTTTGACTCTTTAAGTTGGAACAGAGGCTACCAAGACAGTGGCTTCAGAAGACCAACCCACCTGTGGATCTATCGTTTCTCTCCACTCCTCCTACCTATCCTGGTTCAGGTCTACTTACTGCTCATTTGGGCTATTGCTATACCATCCCTACTGGCCTCCTTAGCTCTAAACAAACTCAACCTAATTTCTAGTTGACATGAATAATCCAAAGTAATGGATTTTCTAAAGTTCAACTCCCACATATGACAGTCCCACTCTAAAACCTTCAGACCTCCCCACTGAACAAAGCTGTGGTCTCTGGAGCTGAAGACCTTCTCAGGCTGGTCCTAATGTGCCTGTGTAAAGTATATCTCTCTCCCCTAGATGAGCCCATTACTGCATCCAAACTGAATAACTAGAGGTTTTCCCGATCATGTTCATGTTCCTTTCCCCATGTTGTTTTCTCCCTGGAATGTCCTTTCCTGAACCACTTGTACCCACCAAAACCCCAGAACTTCTTATGTTCCAGAAGTTCTCTTTCTCTTTTGTCTGGCACCATGTAGCTCTTGTCTGGCTCTCTCTTGAGGTCTCACCACATATTGCCTTGACTTTAACTACTGGTATTGTCCAATCTTTTCCACTAAACTGTAAATTCCTTGACAGCAGGGACACAAGTTAATGAGTATAATGCACAAGGACTCAGAAGTCCTGGGCTCTAGTCTGGGCCGATCTGTAAGGTGGGCCAAACCACATCTCCTCTCTGGCCCTGGGCTTCCTCATCTTTATTTCAATAAGGGTCTTTGAGCAGCTATCCCTCAAGGTCCATTCCAGGTCTAAGATTCCATGTATGTGTAAAATGTGTTTAGTTTCTATGGGCTCAGCTTTGTCATCTATTAAAAAGGATAATAAGCATATCCTTATATCTCAAGAGTTACTATGAGAAACCAAGTGATATTTAGAAAGCACAACTTGTAAAAGATAAGGCACTGAAGAAATGCCTTAGGGATCAACCATGTGGTCTAGTGTAGAATAAGAGGAAATAAAACTCAGTCCTTGCCCTTGGGAGATCTATAGTCAGGTGAGGAGAAAGACAAAAAATCAAGAGTCCACCGTGACAGTGTGACCTGTTCTCCAGCTGTGGCATATGGAGGGTGCTGGGGAGCAGAGAGCAGGGGCGTCCCAGCACAGTGGGAGCAAGGGGTCACTTGACATAAGTCTGGAAGGATGAGTAGGAGTTACCTCAGGTGGGCAGGTAAAACAAAGTCGTATCAACTCCAAGAGCTACAGTGCATGTAGAAAGAGGGGTAGAGAGAAGCTTTGGGCAAAAAATATGTTTATGCATATGTATATGTACCCTACCGGCTAGTATTATGGTATGATTTAGCTATGCAAAGGACCATTATTAAGATAAGAAAAGGTCTATGACCAATCTCAATAGCCAAAGGGGCAGCAGTGGTGGTGGTGTGTGTCTTTGAAACATATCCCAAGATAAAATTTTCCATAAATAAAACAAAATGCTCCCACTCTTGTGCCCAAATTCTGGGTTTGGAAGGCTAAAGTGTCCTGCTCTGTTACAAGAATAATTTCCTAAATTGTACCCATGTAGGAGATGGATGGATGGAAGGAAGGAAGGAAGGAAGGAAGGAAGGAAGGAAGGAAGGGAGGGAGGGAGGGAGGGAAGGAGGGAGGGAGGGAGGGAGGAAGGAAGGAAGAATGAGACAACTGGCACTTCTAAATGGAAGCTGTGAGAGGAGCCGCTTTCCTCATGGCTTGGCTTGTTTTTTTGGTGTTCAGCTACAGAAAGGGATTTCCTTCTGGGGATGGAATCTCCCCAGCTAGCTTCCCTGTTTACCATTTCAATATAAGATGGTTTCCAGATGGACTGCTCCTGCTCCTTGTATTTAGGCACTTGAAGCGGAGTTCCCTGTTTACATACCTCCCACACTTGTCCTTTTTATGGAAATCCGCTCCACTGCTCTGCAAGAGTTTTATACATTCCACATTACTAGAAAGACAGGGAAAACATCGTTAAGATGGTAGAGGTCAATTGCTGGGGTACCTTCACAAAGAGCTGTTTTCTGCAGAGTGCAGGCTGAGATAGAACGATAGCTCCAGCTTTAAATTTGGCTAACCCAAAAAAACCTGGAACACATTAGAGTCATGCCATATTGCAAGGATCTAAAGTTACTAAAATTCTTCTTCCAAAGGTAATAAATTAATAATTTAAGAAAGAGTTTGATGGAACATTTTCAGTTCTATGACTAAGGAATTTAATCATTATTACATGATTAAACTTCTCAGTTATGGTTTCCTTGTTTATCCTAAAATTCTCTTTCAAAACCATCAAGAGTTCATGAAACAACCTCTTAAACCTATAATAATTTCATGTCATCTTTAAACAGTGAGCCAGAATGGATGAACATTACCTTTTATCACAGCAGAATGAATTCACCATGATAACCATTTTCAACCCAGACTCTCCGTAATGGAAAATAAAACAGCTGCATTTCCCTGTCATTGTAATCTAGGTAAATAAATGTGCAGAACCAAGGCTGAAAATGATGTAATGGAGCATAGTGATCTTCCAAAGCTTCTTTGTCATTCACAGAAGCAATAAATCATGTTTAGTAGAAAGAAAAGGACCCATTGAAGTTGAATTTTCCTATGGAAAGGCATGTAGCTAACTATTAACTCTAACAGGAGTTTCAGACACAAATCCAGAACGGTACGTTGCCATTTTCAGTACAGGTCTGACATTTTTAAAAATATGGGCATGAAAAAAGATAACCATTCATCATTGTTCTAAACTTGGGATGCTAAGAAGTGGCCTATGATTTGTTGTTTTATTATCACTTAAATAAGAAAAATGATCTCATTAATGATAAACCTGAACAGGGTTCTCCCCACTCCACATCCAGCAATTATAGCCACCTTTCTCAGAGAACTAGCTGTTTTAGTCATAAAATATAAGAACTTTCTGACTCCACTACATGCTGGTGTAGCATGCCAGTTGACACAAAGCACCTGTCTGCCACTGAATGAAGTCAAAGGCTCCAAGGCAGAGACAGATCCAAGTTGTGTGGCTCATTAAGTTCAGACGATTTGGGGGGATAGGCTGGGGAGATGGAGATTCTTTTCTAAAAAAATACAAAATTATGAATATAAAACTAGATACAAGACTTTGGAAGGGACCCATGGAAATAAGGGGCTCTCATGCTTCACAATCAATACACCTCTGATAAATAGGCAATGCCTTTGGTAATACATAGATGACAAATGGAGCAATGCTGCTGTTCTTAAGGACTAAGGAACGGGTTAAGAACCAACATCTTACCCCCATATGGTCATCTGAGAGGCCATATGAGGTTAATGTGTAGTCATATATCAACAATATATTGATCAGAGCCTTAATCTAACCACTGATATGAAAAAGTATCTGATAAGAAATCCTCTTTCTAATTTAAAAAGAAAAAGGTGAGGATGAAATCACTTTTTGCCTATCTTTTGAATTTTCTTGACCTGTGTTCACATTTAATCATTATAAGGACTTCAAAATCAGTTTTTAAGTAGACAAAAATGTCTGTAAAAGAACATGAATTAACTCAATCTTGGATTCTCTTGATCACCTGCCTACCAGCAACAAAAGAGGGGAAACCTAGGAACAAATCTCTAATTATTTTTTCTTGGTGGATGGGAGTACCAAGAAGATACATACTCTTTAGGCTGAAGACCTACAGCTTAAAGAAAACAGAAGAGAAAACGAAAGAAAAAGTATCTTCTAAATGAGATGGGCTAACAATTTTTCCTTGGAAGAACAAAACACACAGGTAATCTGGAAATGCAGCACAGTGATATTTGGTATTAATAGAAATGGTTCTTACCCATTTTACTAAGGAAACTGCCTTTGATTCACAGACAACTTTAGTCAATTAAGATGCATTAGCAATTAAGTCATGAAGGAAGAAGTAAAACTGCTAACTACTCACCCTCCTGCAGCAGCAGCATGAAGGCATGTTCTTCCAAATTTATCTGGGGTGTCTATTTCAAAGCCTGCAGACAGCACGTGCTCATTACTAAACAAGGACACTATGCTATACTTTTGTCCTAGTTAAACCACAAGAAACATTGCAGAGACAGAAAAATCAGTTAGTAGAAAAACCAGAACGGTAAGCAATTGTAGTCAGAAAGAGGTTGTCATGGAAACGAATGGTAATTGCTCAAGCTTGGCAATTTTAAAGGAAGAACCGTGAAGTCAGGAAGAATTTATTTTCACATTCAGCCCCGGGTGAACCACAGCCCCATATTTCAAGCCAGGATAGAAATTTATGAAACCCATTTGAGATGAGTAGGGCAATCGACAGGCAGACAGAACACATGGAGAAAACACGGAAGGCAAAGGAGTGATCTTAACATGCTGAACACCTATTTCCTTAAAAGTATTATTAGCTTTCAGTTGGTTTAAGATTTGGAAAACATGCTTTCATGCAGGGCCAATTTAAACATGCCAGAAGCAGTGAAAGCAGAATCAACCATACATAAAGTACTTAAAGAGAAGAAAAAAAATGCCTCTGGGGTATCTGTTGAATTAATTCATAAACAATCTTTGCCTTGCAGAACTCTACCACCTTTGAAAGCCAGGAACGTCTTAATACATGGAGGTTGGCAGAAGCAGTGATAAGAAAGATTAGTAAAGCTCCAAACCAGAAAAAATTTCTTGGTTCCAGATAGGCCCACATTAAAAAAATAAAAATTAAACCTAGTTGGAGGGGATCAGTGGTAGTGATTTTTCAGAGCCCGTGGAGTGGGATGATAGTATGACATTGGTTACTGTCAGAATGTGGGACATTTGGCCTTCTTATTTTGTTAGAGATATTACATGTTAAGGCCATCATTTCAAGCCTCAAAGATATTTTCTCCGATTATGACAAGCATCCTGTGAGTCATGGCCATCCCTGACTCTGCATCACCCAAGCTTTAACTTGAAAAACAAACAGGACTCTCATTCTGAGGCAGGAACACTGACAGACTAATAGCTCCAACCCCAAGGACTGCTGGGAGCTGTCCCTGGACGAGCTAAGAGGTGACAGGAAGCACAGGCAGCCACTCATGCTGACCAGACACCTGAAGCCATGTGGCTCATTTACAGGACACATTAAACCTCATCTGTGGTAATGGAGTTACTTACCCGATGATAACAACTTTCTGCAGCAGTCAGAGTGAGCATTTAGGGCAGCTAAATGTAAGGGGAACATGCTATGGATTCCACACCTAAGGAGGAAAAAAACGGAGCAGCTCACAGTAACAGACCTCAAGATACATGAAGAAGCACAATTATCTCTGTAGAAGTTCTCTGAAGAAAAAAATTAAATCCATGACATCTCACTTAAGGACTATTGGGTGAAATAATTTTGCAGTTTTTCACCTTCAACTCGAGAAATAATTATACAATCATTTTCTAACTTAAAATAAAATTCTGGACCTAAGCCAGATTAAAAGCCCATAACAACAGTAAAAAAATGTGTATTTTTAAGAAAATGGTTCACATAAACAGTGACTCTTTACATTTAAAATTAACATCCCTTTATCTTTCAGCTTAGCAATTCTATGTCTCATTCATTCATTCCACACTTTCTGAGCATCAGCTACTATCCTCAGTACTAAAGATAAGACAAACTTTCAACTTTGAAAAGCAACCTGTTTTAGTCCTTGAACTGAAAATCAATATTTATTATTGACCCATTAGGTGCCAAGCACTTTGCTAGAATTTAATAATGACTGTATTATTGAAAACAAAGTTTTGGATGAGAACTAAAAACTAATGTTTACCTTTTGCAGTTGACACTTCACCTTCCTAATAGACATTTTTTTATATTGCACATTAACCCACAACAGGATATCGGTCATGAAAAAGGAGTTAGGAGTAATAAACATTAGCCTAAATGTATTTCAGAAATCTTTCATATTTTCCCTACCACTATTATGGAAAGAACCGAGAAAATGACTTTTTTAAACTGATCTCCCACCATAGCACAGTCCCCAGGATGATCTGTTACAGGACAGGCAGCTTTCTGATGGCAGCACTTTTTGCCTTAGAATTAAATCCTCCTCCTCTCGCCTGTCCCCTCTCCTCGACCAAGGCCCCAAAGCCATGTGCTGAATTGTCATTCATAAAAAACAGCATCACGGGAGGTTCCTGTGTACTTACAAGCATGTATACTGTGAATGGCCAGGTCTCATCTCATCTCATTATATTCAAATAATATATTTCAGAGTTTGTAAATCCCCTGCATAATACAAGCAAGTATATTTATACCTGCAACATTAATTACCTAGATTTCTTCTCTTGCACTCAGTGGCCCATTTTCAGATTCTATTCTTTATAAAAAAAAAAAACACCTATGATGTGAGTTTGTTAAGCTTTGAATACATGAATTCTATCTGCTGTCTCAATGTTATCATGCTGAGTGTGAATGTATGAAAGTATATACATATTCACAGGTATTTTATGGTATTCAGTGTTTGGCAAAATCTGAGTATGCCAGCAGTTAACCACCTCTTTTCACGAAAATTTCTATTTATGTGTATTTCTGTTCAGTCTTACCTTGGCTCATTTTCCTTTCCCTACATGGAGATTTCCAACCCAGTCTGTATAATAGCTGGCATCCGTCAAGAGATGCGATTTGCCTGTCCTCTGGGTAGTGTCATGTGGAGGAGAACTGCTTGTGCTTGCCTCTCTCATCATTTACACAACAAATTCTGAAAAGCAATTGCATCCGCAACAACCTTGCTGCTCACAGAAAGGAAGAGGGAGTTGGGGGATGGGAGAGAAGCATTTCTCTCTACGCTGCTATTTATACTGTTCCCTCTTGATTCCAGGGCCACATGGTAATTTTTTCTTAAATGTGAAACATGTTTTAAAGGCTCCTTACTATATGGGACTTTAAGCTAATGAGCGTTTACTTAATCATTTTTATTTGTTTTGGGCAGTTAAGGCAAAAGTATGTCGTTAAATATCTCTGGACATTTGCAAGAGGAAAATGAATTATTTTCTAGGATGGTTTTAAGTTCCTGAAAAAAATGTCTGAAATCAAGGGGTGGCTTTCTCAAGATTTCTTTGGACTCTCCACATGCTTTAAACATATATATTTTTAAACAAAAATATATAACTATACATATATATATTTAAATATAAATAGATTTTAAAGTATGTAATATATATTATATACATATTATATATACACATACATAAACAAATGATATATGTAATTTACATTTTATAAAGATATGTTAAATATATATCTTTATATAAAATACTACAGGCAAATGAATTAGAGAAAAATTGATTTTTCTCTATAAGAATCCAATTAGGAAAAACATAAAAAGTAGAAGTGATAACATAACAGCAATAATATTGTTAACATACTCCATAAACTTCATTATCAATACTTCCAATCAACCTTACCACTTAAACACCATTGTCTTAAGATAATTCATCACATTCTACATTAGCTAATTATTTCATTTTCTTCCCACTGTTACTATAAACCTGAGAAGATAAGAGAGGCAGAACTACTCCAAAAGGTCTAGCAGAAATGCTGTTTAATATATATTTTTTATTTCATCATTAATAAAAAATCATAACCTCAGTGCAGATTTTGAAAACACACTAATTTAGGTAAGTACCACTGGCATTTGAGCTTAATAGGATGCTATGGTTCAAACGGAAAAACTAAATATCAGCCTGAGATTGGAAAGGAGAATTCAGAATCTCTGAATCACTTTAGAAGTGATTCATGCATTTCAAAATTAAATTATTCCTTTATTGTTACAAAGTAAGACTGCTTATAAAGGAAGGGCCATAAAACCTATAGCAGGAAAATTAGGGTTTGGCTGTCTTAGTCAAATAAGAAGCATCACTCTTACTTCATCAGGTGTACATCAAGGAAGGTCAAGAAATAATGTCAGATAACAGTAAGCTTAACAATGCATAAATTACAGGAAAGAGGAGACCAGTTCCAGTTAAACTGCTACATTTATTTGACCAGTCATAAAATTAATGAACACATTTGGATTAGCTATTTCTAATTTAGCTATTGGGTGGCATCTCCTGCCCAGTTATTTCAGAATAAATGAGGTCAGAATAAATTGTAGAGTGCTATAAGAGGTAAGGAGAGGGCTTTTGCACTGTTAGAATATCAGTTCTTTTAAGCTTTCCCCTTGGCATCAGAGAGGCCTGGCTGTCCTTTCCCACAGCCTGTATTTTCTAGAGCCTTCTCTCAGGCAGTATGGTAAAGAATACTGCGGTTAAGGTGACCAGCTCAGAAACTTTGGTTTGAGTCCTAGTTTTGCTGCTTGCTAGTTATTTGATCTTCAGCAGGTACATAATGGTTCCCTCCTACCAAAAATAAAGACAATAATGGTGTCGATCTCACAGAGCAACTGTAAGGACTAACAGATAATACACACACGAGGGTCTGCCTCTGGTAAACTTTACCATGCATGTCAGTATCATTATTCTTAGCTTAGGTGGGTATTCAGCAGTCTGTGAGTTTTGAAGTTGTAATTGGGTCACGCTTCCTTAAAAGCTAAAGATGAACTGTGGTCAGCTAGCATTTCTGTTATCTTCCCATGTTTTAAAATCTTTCCCAATAATTATCTCTCAACTTTCCTACTTGCCCACTGGGTGGGCAAAACTTGAAAAACAATGTCATTTCTCATCACATAAAAATGATTGTACAATTCTTACTCAACTGATCAACCCAAATAAAAAAAATCAATTTATTAATTTTATCTTATGTCATCCCAAGTATTTTCGTGGCATTTGGACATAACTGACAACAATGAAGCCTGGCCCTTGCTGTCTGCAACCTACAGACATGTTTAGTGGCTCCTTCTGAACCAAGCCCAAACACTCTAAAGTGGAGAGGCCCTTCTGGATCCAGCCGCTGCTTAACCTGTGTGCATTCTAGAATCTCAGCCAACTTCCATTCACTCCTCCTGAGGAAGACAGGCTCTGTCCTGCCCCAGGCTTTTGCACATGGAGGTCCCCACCTGAAACTCTCTACCCTTTCTCCCCTGCTTCATACAGCCGTTCTCAAATTAGTCAGTTCTGAGAGTCACCAGAAATATCTTTGGGTTTTCAAGAGTGTTCTGTGAGAATTTTTAAATCATCTTTTTCTGCAGTTCACATAAAAGCATATTTTGGCTCACCTGTATGACCACCATATCACAACAGACCTCTCCCAAATTTCAGCGCCTAATATCTAGGATCACATTGGTGCTGTGTGGTACTACTTTACTTTAATTGTCAGGGGCCAGAGAGAAAAGAATAAAGTTGGACCTAACAGACAAATGATTTCTGAACCTGCGGAAAGCTAATGATAATGCAGTACACTGAGCGTTCTGTATGCACAAAATCAGCAGTAGTTTGAATAAAAGTCCTTGTGCTGTATGACAAGTCCACTGTCCCACCACTTTAAGCCACTGAAAAGTCTCCATTCCTACAGTGTGTACTGAACTCTAAAGAGTCAGCACCCTAGCCACCAGGACCATAATCCTTGCATATGATGATTTAATTTTGGTCAAATGTGGATTCTGAGATTATATTACGTAGAGAGGCAGCAAGCCTTGTGCTCAGAGCTGATGTTCCAGATCCAGACAGCCGAGGGTGGAGTCCCATTTCCAGCTCTGTGACCACGGCAGGTAACTGAACCTCTCTGTGTCTCCTCTACTTCACCTGTAAGATGGCGACCATCACAGCATTTACCCCTGGTGTTCTGTGACAGTTGCATGTAACCAATCCTCAGAATGTTGCCTAGTGTGGGTAAGCACTCATGAATGTTTGCCACTTCTGTGAAGCTGCGCAGGTAATATGAGTGTTGTTTGCATGTATTTTTTAGTTTTCTCATATTTACTGATATAGAAGAGCCAAAAGCCTAAGGAGTTTCTATCTAGTTTTGTGTGTGTACACACTCAAATAACATTATAGTAAAAATAATTTGTCTACACTTGGGATTTGCAAGGCTCTCAATACTATGACCTAACTAATTGCTATTCATCCTGTAGCTTCCACTAACCGTCATCTTTCCTGGATGCCCTCCCTGGCCTCCCTGTGCCCAGCTATGTCCTCTGCAGTCCCAGTGGCACCTGGCTATTGTTCTGGCATCGCACTTAGCATGCATGCTTGTAATTACTTGTTTAATTCTTGCCGTTGGTAGATTTTAAATTACTTGCAGGCAGGGAGGGACCTCTGTAACCCAGAACCCGATGCACTAGGTGACACCCAACAGGCCTTCAACAAACATTTAGTGAGTGAATGAATGTCAGAACCAGTTACCTGCATAACTACAACACCCTCAATTCTGCTGCAGTTGAGGCAGAAAAAGAGCATAACCAGTAAGGCGGAAGACAAATCAAAATCCTAGAGACAAGTGCCCCAAACCTGAAAAAGTCAGGGAAGAAACACCAAAGAGTTCTGACACCACATAAAGTTGCATGAGCCTTGAGTCAAGTTGCAAAACAGGCTCTGACTTAAAGTTCAGAAAAACAGAAAGAGTAAAAAGGGATGTTCAGTTAAGGCCTGACTAGAAGATCCAAAAAAATTCACAAGGGAGTAACGGCCATAGAACCTGTCCCATAGAGATCGTCTATGGTACATTTGGCCATACTGTTTATGGATGAAGATGGGTTATTTTCATAAACGCTATTTGTTGGTTTACTTATTTACAGAAGGAAAAGCCTGCTTCTCTCCTCTTTAATAAGCTACCCTCCAAAGAACTACAAGGAGCCCAGAGAATAGTGATTTTCTGAGGAGGCCTTTAGCAAAGTTATCTTTTCCAACTCTCCTCCACATCACTTTGCTATTTTACCCTTAGGTAATTGTCCTCCCCATGCTCTGCACAGGCAGACAGACACACACACACACACACACACACACACACTTGCACTCACATGACCGCTGTCTAAGGAACCACCCTGAAGGGAGCATTCTTACCCCCCAGATACACGGTGACAGAAGAAAGCAGATGAGCCCTGGAAGGCTGGGACATGTTTCCCTCATCCACGTCCCCCAGAAACAGCATATCCCAAGCAAGTAAAAGCTACATCATTTCTGTCACTTTTGCACATTTTGTGCATGTGCATAGATCGAAGACAAAATAATTAAGAGGAAACAAACATTGTGCTTATTGAGTTAAAAGTGTTCCATGGAAATTTTAAGTAAATGGTGGGCCCAGTTTATCTTTATTCATCAGATGGATTCAAGTCTGAAAGAAAATCAGAAGTTCATGGTTGTTGGTGAAATCTCCCCAAGTAACCCACAGCTCAAAGAAAAATACCACCCAAAATATTAACATATCACAGGGGAAGTTGACGTTCCTTCTGCTTAATGGGTGAACACTGAGCACTGATGACTCCTGGCTTGTTAGCCATGATCTGGCTGAGAACTCCAGGATCTGGTAAAAGCCTCCTGAATTCCAGCACAGTGCTCTTTCTACAAACTGAGCCGCTTCTTTAAACTTGCAACTCCCAGTCAAAAAGGTCCTTTGGCTTGAAGTGGATTCCTTTCTCTTCTGAAAGGAGGCACCGCACTGCTCTTACTATGTGCCAACAAGCCCCTCCTCTGCCAGCCCCCAGCGCCATCCCAAGCCAGGGCCCGTATGGTTACTCCCTGGACATTTGCAAGAGGCTAACAAGGTGTTTCTAGTCTGGAACACCTCCAATATGTCTGGACTGCCATCAGAATGATCTTTTTTGTACACAAATGGGATCATTAGATACAACCTACCCTATACCCACTTATAATTCTTTAACAGCTTCCGAATGCCTCAGAACAGAATCCAGCTCCTTAGCACGACCCACAAGGCCCTTCAAGACGAGGCTCTTCTTGCCTTACCCCCTCATTTCTTTCCCTCATCCGCATACATCAGATAATCCAGCCTGAGGAATCTGCTCCCAACACGTTCACACGCTGCGCCTTCGTGAACACTGTTCCCCCCTCTCGCGATGGCCTGCCTTACCTCCCCACCTCTGTCTTCATACCTCACACAGTCCTGTCCCGCTGGCAAACTCCTAGCCATCCTTCCTTCTGCTGAAATGTCACCTCTCCTGTGGAAGCCCAGCGTCAATGTTGCCCTGACTGTTCCCACAGCCTGATCCAAATCTCCATCACAACAGACTTCACAACACTGCAGTCATTTGCTCTTGATCTCAGCTCACTGCTGGACTGGGGGCCCAGGTCACGGGGACCCATCATGCCTTTCCTGAGCCATTAAAATTTTGGCTCAGTCTCAAACAAGATTTTCAATTCTGTTACACAACACTTGGCAAATAAATACAATTCCCAAAATTAGACTGTCCTCATATTGTCCTTCTCCTGAAAATTTAGTTATTGTTACCCACAGCCTCTGTGATCAATGCTAAACTCATTCAGGCATTCAGAGCCCTGTTTAATTTGGTTCTACTATATATTATTAAGTCATAAAATTAATAGTTAACATTTATGGATAGCTTACTGTGCACTAGGCACTGTTCAAAGAGGTTTTAACATGGATTCCCTTGTTTAATAACTTTAGTAAATATAATTGTATAACTCATACAGTTCTTACTAGCCTTACTAGTATTTAAGTCCTTTAATCCTCATAACAAACCTATGGGCAAGTCCTATGATTATTCCCACTTTTCAAATGAGAAAACCAACAAAGCACAGAGAGCTCGGACAACAGGTTCAAGGTCACACAGCTCACAAGTGAAGTACCTTAGAAACAAGGTAGTGCCCATGAAAGTCTGGGCTCCCAGCCTGTGACATGACACTGCCTCTAGGCAGAGCATGGCACCATCACACACCCTCTGCTGTCAGGCCAAACTCCTTCCAGAACTGTACTCTTTTCATCTTTTGTTCTTGCTTTCCTCCATGCCTTGAATGTCTGCCATCCCCTGCTCTACTCAAATAACTGTCACCCTTCAAAGCCTACCCAGTACTCACCTTCTCCTTGAAAGCATCTCTGAAAACTTTGGCCACCTTTGAGCTCTCTCCTTCCTGTCTACACTCTGTGGAGTATATGGTCCACACCAAACAGTTGGCTGCTTGAGGTCCTGTTTCATTTAGAATGTTACTATATATTATTTTGCATGGTTCTTTGTTTTAAGTAGGTCTTGGGCCTCCAACATAATTGTGAGTTCCTTGAAGGTACCAACCAGGTAACTTACTTCTGAAATGTCCCATGGCACCCAGCACAGTCACAGACTTATGCAGATGCTTTACATATTCTTGTTGAATCGAAGTGTAAAATGAACTCAGGTGCCCCTTCTCTACATATCAGATTTACTCAGTTGTACCCTATAATTATTTCACTAAACATCGAGCACCCTGAATAATTCTGAATTTGGCCGATTATGTTTCCATTTTCCTGCTCAACTAACATGGAACACTGGAGAACAGAAGATTAGATAGCAGAGTTAGGAACGAAGGTCAAGTCTCCTTAATTAAAACCATTGGAATAGGCCTTGTTCTATATAGCTGAAAAAAAAATTAGTTCTTGCATCTTGTCATCCAAAGTTACTTAATTTAGTTCAAATGTAATCTGTGTTTAGCATAATGATACAGATGCACCTTAACCTGGATAAATGGGAACTATCCACCGCATGGCAGTATTCCCCTTGTAGCAAACGTCCCACCGCAACCCTGCAGCAACCTACTTGGCTGCGTCAGCTCCACTGGTTATTAAGGTGTTGATCAACAGCTCATGACCATATCTTGCAGCCACGTGGAGAGGAGTGTTGCCATCTTTATCCACACAGTCAATTTCACCTCCTGAAAGAGATGTTTTAATACAGGATAACATAAGAATTTAGTTGAGGAGCCTATGCTCTACACTAGTTACTCATGTTGACTGAATGTTGATTTCTTTTCTACTCTGCGTGGATCTCTGTTATGAAGTACAAGAGTGCTTTTCAAGGGGGCAAGTCACCATCTGAAGTAGTAGTATCAAATCTGCATAGAGGGAAGTCTGCTAGAAATGCTTTTGAAAAATCTTTCCATATTATCTTACTTAAGGGTCTAAAATCTTATTCACAACTAGATCGCTGCTCTGAGGGAACAATGTAATCAAATTTCATAAAAATGTAATTCTAAAGATATACTCAATTTTAATTTTACCTGATGAATTAATATTAAAGACTTGTGTAAACCTTATATTAAATTAAAGCATAAGAACCAAAGGGAAAGAGAGTTCAGGAAAACATTTTACATAATTTGATTACCTAATTTAAAATATGATGAGTAAAATGAGTAAAAGCATAAACTACAAACTGAAATGTCTATATTTATAAAAACTTGCACATTAATCATCTATAGTCCTTTTAGTAATATGGCATTTTCATCTTATTTTACTTTATCTTCTTTTAACCTGTCTTTTCATTTCACTACATTTCTTGCTTTCTCTCCTTTTTTCATATATACAGCTGACCCTTGAACAACATGGTAATTAGAGTTGCCAACCTGGACAGTCAAAAATCTATATATAACTTTTGACTTCCCAAAAATTTAACTAACAAACTGATGGACAGAAACCTTATTGAGATCATAAACAATTGATAAACACATATTTTGTATGTTATATATATCATATACAGTATTCTTACAATAAAGCTAGAGAAAAAAAACTTTTTCACATTGTCACAAATCTCCAAAAAATTTCCAATATAGTTATTGAAAAAAAATCCACATATAACAGACCCATGAAGTTCAAACCCATGTCGTTCAAGGGTCAACTGTCTATGCAAATATAATTAGTCTGTTGATTAATTTACTTGAGGAATCATTTAAAAATAAGTTACACATCATGACGTCACCCCTAAGAATTAAGACATTCTCCCACATAGCCACAATTCCATAATTGATACCATAATTTAACACTGATACCATAGTTTTATAGTATATACAATACATATTCCAATTTTCCAATTGTCCCAAAAATGTGCTTTATGTAACTGGGTTTTTATTTTTTGGATACAATTAAAGATTCTGGTAGTACTTGGTTGTTATATCTCTTTAGTTTTCTTTAAAGCAATCCTCCTGCCTCTTACTTAATTTTTAGTCTCTCATGTCATTGTTATTTTTGAAGGCCAAGAGGAGTAGTGTAGGCTGTTCTCTGGAGCTGGGTGATTATTTCCTCATTATTAGATTCACACTAATCATTTTGACAAGAATATCCCAGAGTTGATGTGCATGTTCTCCCGCATCTCCAAGCAAACATACGGCCAAGTTATTCCATTACTGGATGATGCAAATTGTGATTACTTGCAATGGGTACAGAGTTTCAGTTTGGGAGGATGAAAAAGTTCTGGAAATGGATATTGGTGATGGTTACACATTTATTAGTAATACATATTGCAAATATTTTCCCCCCAGATTTTCATTTTCCTTTGGGTATTTTAACCTTAAAAAATACTTTTTTTGTAATTTATGTTTTTTCTTTTATTGCACTTAGATTTTGCTTTGTAGTTAGAAGGGCTTTCCCCACATACCTGCAGTAAAGAAACTGACCTGTGAAAATATATTTGTAACATGTATTACTGACAATTGGTAATCTCCCAAATAATGTTAAGAGCCTTAAAAATCGAGGAATAAGTAGGAATCCAGGAGAGGGAGGAAAGGAAAGTGACTGCTACATGGGATGAGGTTTTTTGGGGGGTGATAAAAATATTCTGGAATTAGATAATGGTGATGGTTGTAGAATCTTGTGAAATACTAAAATCCACTGAATCATACACTTGAAAATGGTGACTTTTATGGTAAATGAATTATATCCCAATTAAAATGGAAGGGCCTGAAGAAAGCCATAGGAAAAGGTAAAGGATTAAAGAGAGGGAAGCGCACCAAGGAGAAAATACAACATGTGTACTTGTACTTACATCTGTGTACTAATACGCACTTCTACTTTAAGAAAGGGGCTCAGAATATAAATTATGCTGAGGTTCTATTTCCTGGCTATTCTGTTTGTAAAAAAAATCTCTGCATCATTATGGAAAGTAGTAAGTTATTGACTTGTTAAATCATGCTCTTAGATATTAGATATTTTAAAGTTGGTCTCCTTGGAGAATTTTGTTTCACAAAATATTCTACATATTTACTGTATCTTTAAAATATACCATTATAATATACTGATACTGCAATGTTTAGCTTATATATCTAAACTATACACACACATCTATACATTTCAGAATAAGAAATATAAAATCCTAGGAAATGCAAATATTTTGTGAATGGTTCAGATCAACTTAGATAAAATTTTTTATTTGTTTTAAATAACATTTCTGATTAAGAAAGGAACTTTCTAATTGTAGAAAATTTAGAAGATGAAGTAAAATATAAAGGAAAAAATGGGGATAATCAGCACTAATATTCTGGGATACTTCCAGTTGTTTGTGTGTATGTGTATATGCATTTTTCATGGTTGAGATCATAGTGTACAAAGAGTTTCGTGTCCTGTTTTCTCCCTTAAAGTTACATCATAAGCACTTTGCATGTCATTAATTTGTTGTAACTATATGACATCAATTTTATGGAATTTACTTAGCAAGTCCCCAGTTATTAAGCATTTAGGCTATTCCCCAATTTTTTTCATTAAGAAAAATACAGGAATGAATATAACTATAAATAACTTTATCTACATTTCAGGTGATTTCCTTCAGCAACAATTTTAGAAGAACTACTGTATCAAAAGTATGAATATTTTTTAAGGTAATAAAAATGGACAACAGAAAATTGCTTTTGCGAAAGGTCATGACTATTGGCACTCCCATTTAGCAGTATATTTGAGCATATACCAAAAGATGCCATTGAGAGTCTTTTCACATCTGGGGAATGAGTAGTAACTTCCAGGCCAAGATACTGTATCCTATAACATGACCATTATAAAATCCTCACAATAATATCCGTATGGCTCTTCATTGTATTGAATGCTGTTATTGGTCATTCTGACCACCAATTCTCTAGGAATAATTTTCAGCAAACAACATTTTTTCTAGCTGGGTTGTTTGGTAAAATATAGAGCTAGTGAATCAGAAATCTTTGCTACAAAGTGAAATAATTACCAAATATGTGTGGGCTTTGCAAAGGGGCAAATGCTTTAAAAACTGCAACAAGCACATGTTTGTTGACACAGAGTTTCAGATGCTTCACTATACTTCAGCATATACAGTTTAACTTGAAAATCAATCTGCTGCCAATAAATTGGCACATTTGAGGACTGCATCTTAATAGCTATTTACAAAAAGGTAATTCCTTTTTGACCTTGACTGTAACAGGGAACTATAACTGGCAGCTTGAATACCTCAGAGCAATCAGGGTACATGTGGTCAGCCTGATGCGGGTCCCCAGTGGCGCTGATCCAGGGAGGTGTGGGGGGCAGATGCCCAGGCTTCAGAGAAGCTTTTGTCCTGAATAAACACTACATCACTCCATGTCCTTCCCAGCCAAGAGCCATCAAGACTTTCCTAAGAAGTGTTAGGGCCTCCATGATTACCAGCCTCATACATGCCAAAAATTAGATAAGGAAAGAGGATAGTGGAAAATACTGGAAAGGATGGAAAAGAGGAGCCGAACTGGTACAAGTTTCTTCTTGCCTTTACTATCACTTCATAAGTCAATTTAAAACTGTAAAAATATATTTAATTATCTTCCAGATAGGCTTTTGCTGTCATTTAAAATATATTTCAGGAAAACATCATAACTTAGGGGATAAAGAAAACAGAACTGTGTATTTGCTATTTAGAAATATGTCTTAAATTACAGTAGGACTTCTAGATGAATGAATTTATATTTTATAGTCACTCTCCAAACCTTTCCATTCTTAAGATTTCATCTTTAAGATTTGCTCAGAATGCTGATTAAATATCTTTGATATTCATTTGAAGATTCCAAGTTAAATGTTGTAATCGAGCATTGATAATCAGTTAGGAAAATAAACATCTGTGACCTTAGTAGTATGTGAAGCATGTCAGATCATTTTTGCAGCATTGTCTAAACATTCATTTGAAATCAGTTTTCCCAGGCACAAACAAGAATGGCCATCTTATTAAATTGCCTTGGAAGTGCTGTGAGCCAAAGGGTCAAAAATCTCACGATGAATCATCCTAACCTATCACTCGACTCTTCCTTTTCAAACTCTATTTTTAACAGTCTTGTGGAAAAAAAAATACATCACTTTTGAACCTCTGTGACCTGGACAGTGTCTGAGGCAGCTACCTAGTGCAAATGCCTGGATCAAATGCCTCCTGATATCATGTTGTATCTTCATTCAGTTCTTTCTCTCTGTGGCTGTGACAACAGAGCTCATGAAAATAAATGATGTGATTGAACAGCAGAGGTAGTCTTTGCTTACTAACCAAAAGAGAAAAGAATTTTTTTTTTAATGATTGTCTTACCAAAGCTGAATGATTCTAGAAAAACAAAGTTATTTTGAAGAATTAATAACCCTGACTGGTGAGCAGTCAGGAAAGCAGAGAAATGCTGCACCAAGTCTGAACAACAGAGTGATTTAACAAAACAAATAAATAAACATTAGAATGTCCCTTAGTAGCATGTGAAGTTGGTTTGGGGAGCCAGCACATGTCCCCACATGGGACGGGCATTCTGGATCATGTTGTGCAGTGGCCCATCCGGAGAATGGACACCAGACCCTGGGGGTGTGAGCCTCTGGATTTTTCCCTGATGGAAGTGAACAAAGAGGAGGAAAGAAAAGAGCTTCTTATTCTTTTCCCTAAGGGCATTTTTTTAAACGTCAAATGGAAGAACTCACAGTTTTCTAAAGTGTGATGAATGCAAAGAATTGTCAGCTAAGAGAAGAGATGCAAAATCATCCTTTTACAGGGATAACTCTATTCTAAATATAAGTAACTCTCAGAGTAAATAGAATTCAAGTTAAAAATTTTTTTCAACATGTCATTGTTTATCCAGAGAATACATTACAAGCACAGTGGTTAAGAGTTTCATCTCTGATGTTAGATTGCCTGTGTTCCAGTCCCTGTCATGTATCCTGACAGAAGGGACAACTTCTCTGCCTCACTATCCCCATCTCTGAAATGGGGAAATAATAATAGCATCTCTTTCTCATGGGGTGATTGAAAGGATTTATATGGTGTGCTTAGCCAAGTGCCTGGCACAGGATGAACACTTAACCATGTTAGCTTTATTATTATAGGTATAATGTGTTATATATTATAGCCACTATATCTTCATCATTTCAGACCCCTGGACCCCACCCAACCCACAGGCAAAATGTCAGGCCAACCAAGAATGAGGAAGGCTCTGAAACAAGCTCCTTGATCACAGAAGACAAGAGATGGGGTCTCTATTACATTTTGTCCCAACTCAAAAGTCTAGCAAGAATGTCACAAAAGTCTTCAAATCCCTAGAGATGGTTTTTGGGGAGGTCAAAGCAGCCAGAAGTCCCCCAGGACTGTGATAGGCACCCTAGCCTGACACAGGGCACAGGTCATGTCCTTAATTCGAAGGAGATGGCCAGTATGGTCTGGCCTACAGGGGTGGACCTGTAACTTGGCAGTGCCTGCAAGGAAAAAAACTGCTATTTCTCTGATCTGGTCACTGGTGCTTGAAATTGTTTTAACAGGGAACAAAGCTTTGTATGCCACAGTCCTAAGACCCACTGATTAAATTCACATTACATATTTTTTAATGGATACTAAATAGCTCGCTAGTTTTATTTATTTTTAAGGCAGTGGATATTGTTTCTGAAAAAGAGTTAAGGAATACAGTGGGATAAGGAAAATTTGCAAAGGAGAGACACTAGGGTCACTCCCCACCTCCACATGTTTACAAGCAAAACAAAACAATTTAAATGGCCCTTTCAATAAAGTGAATGTCAAAGGCATACCACATATTTCAAATTAGAATTAAAAGGTATTAAGCAGCTAATGTTCATTTTACCTTCCTTTGCTCACTGGAAACTTACCAGGATTTCTTTTCCCCTGCAGTTTCACTGAAATGTTTATGTTTCCTTTGCTTTGCTACAGATATTTTTGCTGCCTAAGCATAATTTCACTGGCTGGTCTTCCATTCAAATGTCAAATGCCTTTTTGGTTTTATGACTTGAGTGCCTAAGACATAACTTAGTAGCACTAATAATTCAAGTGTATGTCACCCAAAATTCTTATAGATGAGAAAAAGATAATCCAAGAAAGCTGGCTAATGCCAGAATGTTGAGAAGTAGAAATGTGGGTCAACTAAAGATAGTTTAGGAACTGCTGAATTTGCCTGCAATGTCAGCATAAAATCTGGAGTAAACCTGCTTTTTAAAAAAATTGTCTCTAAGATTTGCTAAGATAACAGAAGCTGTGTTGTCAAGAACAATCCACTCATCGATACTGGCCATGACCTAGAACACAAACCATGATATGAAGTGACAATCTCAAGTATTTTGCGCAGAGACAACCCAATGGTTCAAGTAAACCTTTGTTGTATGCCTGGAAAATTACTAGATTATGTCTTTCCAAGGTCTCTATCAAGCCTGTGATTTTATGACCCTTTATAGCACGTACTTAACTGCTTTTCCTCTGAGTCACCTCACTTCTCCTACCTTTGCCCTAGCAGCTTAATGAGTTTTAACTTAGGAACTATGGTGATTTCTGAAATTTAAAAACAATTTGGATTTGCCATTACAAAATGAATGATAGTTGTTTTTATTAGTTTCAGAGTGAAAAGTGCAGTTTCTTGAGCCCATATAAGCACATCATTTTCAGTTGCAAAACATACAAGTTCTTTCACTGACTGGAAATTGCCTGTGAAACTTAGTAATGTTGTATTCTCACTCCTAAGCTTGTTGGTGATGATATGGCTGATAAAGAGCTTTAGCAAAGTTAATCAACGGACAGTGTACATTCAAGCTTAATAAGCTCTAAAACTGAGCATTGTATTTCACATGCAGGTGACTGACAACGAGACTCCGTCAGACTAGGACACTGTTCAAACAAGGACACGGCAGAAGAATCTCTCTTACCATTCTGAATGAGAGTTTGTGACCGTGTGAACCTTCCGTGGACAGCTGTCATGTGCAGTGGACTTTTGCCATCTTTACTCTAAAAAATTGAGGGAGAGAGAAACAATGGACCAGTGACATCAGTCTGAACCATTCCTGTGGACACCACCAGCAATGCCCTGGAAATGTCAATTCAAATTTTTTTAGTATGATAAAAAAAAATTACAAGAGGTAAAAGATAATTTGGAAAACGATAGCTAAAGTAAATGTGGTATCTCAAGTTATTGCCAAACATCACATTTTAAAGATTAGAGGGGTGAAAATTAGAGAAGAAATGTGGAACTTCTTTTACACTGATGATATCACACTATCCTGTTTCAAACTGAAATAATCGTCCAAAATGTTTTGTCCTCCCCTGTGATCTACTGATGAAGAAGGTTTCCTTTAAGGGATTTTTTCAACTTTGGTCTGTAGAATATGAAAAAAGACAAATGGTTGGTTCTGCTTGACCTGAAGTTGACTAAACTGCTATAAATCACTGAAAACCTCAAAACTGATCTGGAAAACAACACTTTTGATTGTTCTAAAACAGAAATGCTTGCTTCACTAAACTCATTATACTGAGATGGTGGGATTAGGACATGCAATGGTTTAGCAAATTGCCATTAAAATGATCACTTGGAGATATGTGCTGAATTTATACATTTCTTTAGTTTTCAAGTTATAAATGATAGAACTCCCTGACACAGATTAAGTCAAAACATGGAAAATGGACAGAATCCATATACTGATCATCATTTTACCAAATACTTAAGTCCTACACATCTAATTAAGAAACAGTCATTTATAGAATTTCTTTTAAAAACTCTACATACTATTTTTTCTTCTAACAATAGTAATACCCAAAAGAAAACATTACTGTTATTTTAGACCACAAGTATCCCCAGTAGAATATATTCTTTCATTTAGGTCATAGAAAAAATAAAAGAAGAAAGAAAGAAAGACAAATAAAGAAGGAAATCTATATAACTTAGTTTTCTAAGTCTCAGGAAAAACATTTTCCAAAGACTGAGGTTAAAATATGAGATTTCAAAAATGCAAGTTCTGAACAGACAATTCTCCAAAGAAGAAATTCAGATGGCCAACAGACACATGAAAAGATGCTCCACATTGCTAATCATCAGGAAAATGCAAATTAAAACCACAATGGGATATCACCTCACACCACTTAGGATGGCCAACATCCGAGAGAGACAAGGAACAACAAATGCTGGTGAGGATGCAGAGAAAGGGGAGCCCTCCTACACTGCTGGTGGTAATGTAAATTAGTTCAACCATTGTGGAAAGCAGTATGGAGGCTCCTCAAAAAGCTCAAAATAGACATACCATTTGACCCAGGAATTCCACTCCTAGGAATTTACCCAAAGAAAACATGTTCTCAGATTCAAAAAGACATAAGCAGCACTATTTACAATAGCCAAGATATAGAAGCAACCTAAGTGCCCATCAGTAGATGAATGGATAAAGAAGATGTGGTACATATACACAATGGAATATTATTTAGCCATAAGAAGAAAAAAAATCCTACCATTTGCAACAACATGGATGGAGGTAGAGGGTATTATGCTCAGTGAAATAAGCCAGTTGGAGAAAGACAAGTATCAAATGATTTCCCTCATTTGTGGTGTATAACAACGAAGCAAAACTGAAGGAACAAAACAGCAGCAGACTCACAAACTCCAAGAAGGGACTAGTGGATACCAAAGGAGAGGGGTGAGGGAGGGCGGGTGGGGAGGGAGGGAGAAGGGGATTGAGGGGTATTATGATTAGTACACACGGTGTGAGGGGGTCATGGGGAAGACAGTGTAGCACAGAGAAGAGAAGCAGTGACTGTGGCATCTTACTACATGATGGTCAGTGACTTCAGTGGGGTATGGGGGGCACTTGATAATATGAGCGAATGTAGTAACTACAATGTTTTTCATGTGAAACCTTCAGAAGAGTGTATACCAATGATACCTTAATAAAATAAATAAATAAATAATTTTAAAAATGCAAGTTCATTTTGTGATGTAATCCATATACTTGTGCTTTACAGAAACTCTTAAATAATCATTTGTATTTCTTAGAGTAAACCAAGGACTACCTTCATTTGAATCACTCATCGTACTTGTTAGAAATGTGAACTGAAATGTGAACTCTGTGCCCTAAACAAGATCTAATAAATCAATACTGGGGCTAAAGGATCCCCCTTTCTAGCTTGCACAGCAACTAAAGCTTTGGAGCCACAGCTTTAGACTAGGGGCTGGAATAGCTTTTAAGACCACGAAGTTTTAACAGAAGAAGGTTTTAATAGTCTCAGGCATATAGTGGAGAAGAGCTCCTAATAGCTGATTCCTGAGCCTTGGTCTTGTCTGTCAGAACTGTAGACAGTTCAAAGGACTGAAAAGCCTGGGAACTACTGACGAGTAACGATTGAAAACACACCCCCTCCAGTAAAAAATTGATGGCAGTCTTAAGGAGTGCTAAGGAGAGAGAAAACAAAAATTGCAGTTTACATTAACTTGTCCCTAGGTGGTGCTATTTCTTTAAATTTTGCTCCAATATTTTCTCTAAAATTTAATATGAAAAAAGTAATTAGCATTTAGTTAAATACATGTAAAGCCATAAATATTTCAGTGGTTAGAAATATCTTTATAAGTATTTAACTAAGCACTTTCCCATGCCTAAAAAATAGCTTAAGGGTTTTAACAAGGAATACCCACCAACTTGGTGGTAACTCTTCAAACTGCAGCCAGAGAACCAAACCAGAAAGAGCCAGTTTTTATGGTGTGCAGGTCACACAGTTAATCCCATTTCAAGGACAGCAAACACCACTTTTTCTCCTTTGGAGTGCTTGTGCCTTTAGTAAAGGGACAAATAAACAGAAATGATCACATTTGTTAAAATGCCAAGGATGGCTAGATGGTCAGTGGGGTGCTTGCTTCAGATCCAACCTTGCAGATCTTTGTTGGGTTCATCTACGGGGTCCAGGTCTCAGCTGATTTTTTTTTTCTCGAAGGAATATGGGTGGCAGCGGGTGGGAGTAGGTGGGGACAGGAAGCACTGAGTATCATGGCAGCCATTTGGGGGCAGTTTTGTTTATATAGTATGGGTGTAAAGGAAACTTATTATTCAAAAAACCATTAAAAACTAATGAGGGTCAAAAGGATAATACTTTTTATTTAGCCTTTATAAATTAGAACTCGGAATATTCGGGCTGAGACTAGGGGTCCTACTGAGTTTCATTATCTGCCTGAGAAATTTTTCACAAGGTAGGGAGAGGAACTTGCCATTGCTGCTGCTGTTCTGAGAACTTCAGACAAGGATTAAACATGCCTTCCATCCCCAAAGGAGAGGACTGGTTCAGTTCTTTCATTTATTCAAGGCACTGCTTTTATAAAAAATCTTTTTTAATTTCTAGTCTCCTTCCAATTTCTCGATGGATTTTCCCATCCGATTCAGGGCTTGAATGAATTTGTTATTTTAAGAATTTGTCTAATTAAGTAAGAAGCTCATCTGTTCACTTAGGCATACATGGTTCAGCCATAAACCATGAAGGAAAGCTAATGAAAATTAAGAATATTTTATACTAAATATTAGTATTCTTTCAGGACTGAAGTCAACATCCCCCAAGGAAGCTTAATCCTTGAGCTAGGCATGTTTCGATTTTCCTGACCACCATGCTCCTCAGAAATCCATTCATTCTTTTGTTCTACTCCTAATACTTCTTTCCTCTTCCTCCAACATCCCACAAATCTTCCCTAAATTTATAGATGGTCTTACTTCCCCGGAACACAGCAAAGGTATTGTGTTCTCTGTCGGCATAGTGTCTCGTGGCATTACATGGCTCAATGGTCCTGATGGTAAAGCCTCTACCAGATAATAATAAAACCTGTCAGTAGGCGGTTAGGGGTGCCAGAAGTCTAAAAGGGGCTCCTAATTCAATGGAAGAGCAATCTAAAACCCTGATTGCAAAAAGCCATACGTAGTCCACTTTTTTTTTAATGGTTTTCAAGGCCAGAGATGGTACATGGTTGGCTCACACATTCATTTTTGCTCTCCTTTCCCCACTTCTTCTCCAAAGTTCCAAGTGCCATGTCCCTACCACTGCTTTCTTGTGCCAATTCCAGGTTTCACCTTCAACCTCTGCAATGCAACCCTTTCTACAGTTTGGTCCTGGTACATGTAGAGAAGGATGCTGGTCCACTTCAATTGACATGAGATGGGCTTCAGCTCCAGTGTTCTAGGCTACATGCCTAAAGGCCCATGGACAGAAGAGCATCGGAACCATGGGCCGGCTGAATGTTAGAGCAGGAGGTAGGTGACCTGGCAATGGCAAGCTCTGAATCTATCTTTCTAAGTCGAATCTGGCATGGCTATGTGTTTAGTGCCTTCTTTAACACGTCCTTTGAAAGCTTCTGAAAAGAGACTTGAGCTGCTTATAGAAATTACAATGTGCTTTGTGATGGAGAAGAAAAATTATTTTATATTTTCTCATACTCTACCCGTTTGAAAAATACAAGTGAACCTTCGATAGTTTCTTGTGTAAAGTATTGTGTTTTTATTATTTTTCACAATTAAACTAATATTACAAAGTCAAAGATAGGGCCATAGTCAATCTATGCATCATCTTGTAATTTGCTCATGAAGATATCACTTCAAGTCGTTTGTGAGGATAGAGGACAACAAAGGGAACATGCGGTGGGTACTGGCTACATTTCAACATGCTATTTCCCCTCAAGCTTTAGAAAATCCAAACAATTACAAATTGTCTTGTAATCTACAAACACTTTCAAACCCCAAGGAGCAATGTGGTAGGTAGAGATAACAACTTCAATTAGAAAGCTACCTCCAGAGTCGGACTGAATGACTCTTCGGAAGCGTTAGACTCTCCAAGTATCCAGGGGAGGTTTCCAAAGAAGGAAATTAGAGGATTCACACAGTGTAGATAAAGGAGACTGAGGGAGAAAGCTAAATTTCATTCAAAATCATATTTATAGAGATGAAATAATACGTAAATCCAAGTCTCAGATTTTTAAAATGATGTTTCTTATATTCTACTGATGACTAGCTGTCCACAGGAAAAAAACTATTAAAATTAAGAAACCATGCTCTCCAGGTCCATTTTATAGGGGAGAAAAGAAGGCTGCCACAGAACAATGTACCACCCGTAGTTGAAGCCACTAAGCCAGTCTGACTTGACTGCTGCTCCGTTAAGTGGGAGAAGCAGATGGGTGTGCCAGCAAGGGCCCTTCTAGCCTGGGTACCCGGCCCCCGGGAGCATGAACCGCCTGTTTTACAAAGGTAATCGTAGCACATCAGACAACCTGTGAGTTAATTAAGTGGAGGTAAGAAAGCTACTTTATTTAATTTCAATGACTTTCCATTCTTTGGAGGATTCAAGGACATCCTCCAGACACCAGGATGTCAAGACAAGTGTCACAGGTCCTGGGGACACTGACGGGGTGGGCGCTCATGAGCTGCTGCCCTCTCACCACCATCCTCTGGGACTGCAACCCCCCACAATGACTCCCTGCCCCCCTTGGGGTACAGTTTCTTGTTCTCCCTGATGCCCCCTAAGACCTTTACTTTACCTGCACTCAGGACCTTGGCTGGGCTCCACTTACAAGATTTGGAACTCTGAAATTCTCTTCACCTATTTTGCTTTTTTCATTTCTGCCTGATACCTGCTTTCGTGAAGACACTGCACTGCCCTCCATTTCTTCCCTATCTTCTCTAACTCCTTTTCCATCCCTTTCTCTGGCTCTTCCTCCTCCTCCTGATGCTCAGAGTAAAGGGCACGAGGAGTCCCCCATCCCCTTCTCTGCTCCTACTATGAAGTTCTCTCTCTTCTTGGGTGAGCCCAGCCTTTTCTCCCAGTCTCAACTACCAATTGCCACCTCCGTGTGAATGAAGCAACCTAAACTTTTTCTTCTGTTCTCTATTGCTCTCCCATACAGGAGCATGCCATTTTTTACTGTTGGTTTCCTCAGACTGGCTGTACCAAAGGCTCAAAATCACCTTCTCAATAACTGAACTCCTCAGTTTCACCTCCGGAGTCTACTTTCTCCTGACATCCCTCTTAAAAACAATAATCCTTTATCAAGTGCTTACCATGGGGACAGACACCATCCTAAACAATTTATGTGAGATAACCTACTTAATCCACACAACAGTTCCAAGAAGGAGATACGATTGTTTTCCTAATTTTAGGGATAAAGAAACTGAGACACACATAGAGGTTGCTTACGGTTATGTAATTACTGAAAGTCAAGGCTGGGGAGGAACCGAGGCAGGCCAGCTTCAGAACTGAACACAGAGCCACTATGTTCTATTACCATATTAACCGGATTTCAGTTCTTACACTCATCTTCCACAACTCCATCTCTCGTCCAACCAAAGTCTGCTGATTTTCTTTCTGCAAAGCCTCCCTCTGCTGGCTATCCCCGTTTCCCTGTCCACACAACTTTCTATGTAGACCAGTTCTATTGACTTCCAGTTAGCTTCTAATTGTTCTCTCTCTAGCTCCCCCATACCTGAATTTTCCTTTCACAAAACTGAAAATAGCTTTTTTTTCCCCTCGATGTGAAAATAACACAATGCTTATTGCATCACAATGAGTGCATTAAAACAAATACATAAAAAAAGAAACTAAAAAAATTCAAATTATAATTTTGCCTTTTTGCAGTGATAACTGTTGCTAGTATATTGGTATGTATTCCAAATAGTGTCCTCATTCTATGCATATACACAGACACATCACTTTTCTAAATTAAAAAAAATAGGTCATATGTACTTACTGTATTTTTTTCCACTGGTAACCTGGCTATAAGTCGGCTTTTTGATAGTTGCCAATCTTACAGCCAAATATACTTGTGTATTAGTTTGCATTTTTCTAATTTCTACCGATACTGAATATTTTTTCATAGGTTTTGTAGATATTATATTCTGTCTTGTGATCTTCCTTTGCCAGTATTTTTTAGTAGATTCTCAGATGTTTCCTGATTTTTATGAGTGCTTTATACATGAATCATATTAACTCTTAGCCTGTCATGTATATTGCAGACAAATTTCCCTAAGTTGTTCATCTTTTAATTTTGATTGTTAAGGTTTTTGGGTTTTTTTTTCTTTTTTTGGTGGTTAGGGGGTACCATATCAAAGTTTAAAATTTTTATGTAGTCAGATACACAATTTTTTCCTTTATGTTTTCTGTCTCTGGTGTTCTGTGGCCAGATCACTATTCCTAAGAGTAGTTCTGATCACATGGCCTCCTCTAATGAGTAGAGGGCCCTGCAGCCTACCCAAACTCCTCGGCCAGTAGATAAGCACCTTCCCTGGTCGGGTCACATTTTGGTTTGTTCCTGGTTTCCTTCTTTCATACAATTTATACTCTGTTCAAGCACAATAAATCACTATTCTGAAAATGTATCCCATATTCCCACACTATGAGAAATTGTAAGAAAAAAATATAAAAAGAAGTAATTAAAATTTATTGATCCAATAGTCTTGAAATTAAATCTTGGAAATTATAATTGTTGAAAAGCAGGGGCAGAACACAGTGGGAACTGGCTTCAGGATTATTGCGTGCCTGGAGAAGGACAGCTGAATGTGAGTACCAGGTTATTTGGTGCAGGTTAGGATATTCCACTGCAGACCAAATGCATTTAAATGATGCAGCCCAGGTCATGAAGGCTGCATGCCTAAATTCCTCTTGGTTATCTGGCACAGTGAGCTGACTTATTACCTAAAAGTAACCCAGAGCTTTTCCTATCCAGAACTCCCAACTCCTTTATTCTATCTGGGCTGCTCTTTCTCATATTCTCTCTTTCCCTCCTCATCTCAACTGATATCAACCTTTCAAGTCTCAGCTCAAAAGGAAGCTCCATTTTTGATTCCCAAACAAGAAGCAAGTCAACACTTGCTTCTTAGAGTTTGCAATGCTTTATTACTTTCTCATGCCACTCACATTCTCTCTTGCCTCTTAATCAATGCGTTACCTCCTCATCACACTGTAAATTCCTTGAGGGCAGAGATCGTATCTCATCTTGGAGTACTCCCTCAGAACCAAACAGATAGCACTGGGTAGTCTTCAGTGAGTTTGCTGAATAAGGAAATGACTATTGGGACCAGGTCTGTGTCACATCACTGAAGCTACTCTCTGGGGTTTACTAGAGGAAATTATTTGAAAAACTTGATGGACCATGCCACAGTTAGGCACAGATCTGAGATCATTACATCAGGCCTTTCCTTTGATTCCCAGTGGCTCTGCCCTGTCAGTTCTACCAAGGTCAAGTCAACATCCTAGAGACCCAGTATTTGCTCTGGAACATTCACTAAGCTACCAAGGGCCAGTGGCTAGAACCTCAGTGCCTTCCAGCTGGTCCCACCACCCCCCGCAATAACAACGCAAATGACTGCACACAGATGCTAATACAGGATGAGGCTGTGGGAATCAAGGTACTCAGAGGTGCAATTCACTAAAACATGACACAATTTATGGCACTTGATTTTGCTCAGAGGCTCAGTGCAAAGGTACTTAACAGAGAGACAAAGAGTGTCATACCTGAATGTTAACATCCGCCCCGTTGTTTACTAACAGTTCAAGACACAAAGCACCATGTGTGGAGGCAGCAGCAAAATGCAAAGGGGTGAACCCACTGTTGTTGGGCTGGTTCACATTAGCACCATAGTCAGTCAGCTCGTTAACGACAGCATCCTGCCCGTTGTAGCAGGCCAGGTGAAGAGCCGTGTTCCCATACACGTTGATTTCGTCGATCTGCGAATGAGTCCAACACAGGGCAACTAAAATTACCAGAGCCACTTTGCTCCATTTTCCACAAAATGCCTAATGGCTGTGCTAAAGAAAGAAAATGTCCCTCTGTCACCATAATTATTCAGAGCTTACTTTTGCCCAGTGTGGCCATTCTGGGAATGCTTGTCACCCAGGTAAAGATCTGCAAAGAGTGAATGTGACAAAAAGCAAAGCTGGGAGGGAGAGTTAGAGGTTTCAGCTTGTGGAAATATTGTTCCACCAGGGAAGGGGTATAAGGTAAGGCAAAGCTGCCTCAGAACGCCAGAGGACAACTGACTCTCAGAGCAAGAAAAGAGCCCAGAACTCATCAGTGCACCTGAAGAGAAAGGAGGGGCATCGCAGGGAGGGGCTGTGGAGCCTAAACTGGGAGGGTGAGCTCAGGAGCCACTCCAGATTTGTCTGTGCCATGTGACGCCTCACTGCCACATGCTGGGAGCAGAGCCGATGGACAGTCCTGGGTACTGGCCCCCTGGCTCTCTCTGCTTTCCCAGACCTGCCCAGGCTGCTGGGTTCCACCATGGTCTCAGTACCGCATTGGTTCTCCTGTGCTCCAGAGGCAGGCATGTTCCACAGCCTCACCACTGCTCCTGCTCTGCTAGATGAAGGAGAAGGGCGTGAGGCTGACTCTGCCAGCACAGCACTGGACACTTCTGCTGTTTGTCCCTGTCATTCATTCATTAATGTTTGTGAGCCACAAGGTAGAAGCCTCGCTTCTGGAGGGATGAAGAACCCCAGCCTTTGAAAAATGACTAGTTAAGATGTATTACATATATATGTCTAAATATTTCTCTATGTATGTGGACACAGAAAGATATAGGAAGTGAGTTTGTTTCTAGTTTTCCACTACTTAGTATATGCCCCCATTGCCCTTCATCAGTTGTATGTAAACTCAAAAGAATAGGGTACTAGAAAATGAGGGTTTTTTTTTCTCTTGCATTAAAATACAAACAAGATTTAATATTAGAACCACAGAAACCTCACAAATACCCCATGGGGTGAAGCATTAATCATAGCTCACCTCCACCCCCAGATTCAGGAGATGTTTGACAACACTGATCTGTCCATTGGAGGCCGCGGCGTGCAGGGGTGTGTAACCCTTCTTATCCTTACACGTCACTTCTGCGCCGTGGTTAATGAGCAGTGCTACGACATCCAGGTGGCCTTTACAAACAAAGCAGCAGAAAATATTATTAACCATTTTGGGACAATTAGACAATTCAATCCACCTAAATTATCGCTATTAGCTCTTATGGCCACCAGCATTTTGGTAGCTATTAAAAAAACAGCACATGGTAAATTTTCAGTGAATATTTAGTGAGTACCTACTATATGTCACACTTTATAGAAATGCTGTGGGGAACAAAAGATGTTTCAGATATGAGCATCCTCTTCAAGGAGATCTAGCAGAAGGGATACCAGAAACAATAACAAGGCACTGCAACTATGTCAGTGGCACACCCTTAAAAAACTATGATAAAATGAAAAACAGTGCTTTTGAAACCAACTGCCATTCCTCACTGAAACGTCTAATGATGACAACTTGGTTTGGAAAAAAACTAAGGGAAAAAAAAAATCAATTAATCAGAATGACTACAGATTATTGTTAAATCACATGGAAATGCTGCTGTTTGGCTTTTTTTTTTTCTTTTTGACCCATGAAAATGGCAATTTCATATGATTCAACTTAAAGTATTCTCATGAATTACTGACTAAACAGAAACTTTTCCAGTTTCTGTTTCTGTTGGTATATTTTCTAGAATATTTTCCTTTGTTCCCCATTTCATTACATATAGCGTGATAAATGTAGTTGGCCTGTATTTTGTGACTGAGGTCATTCACTGTTTCCAGGTCATTGCTTTAAACATGGTTGGTAAATGAAGGGTAGAAGATGACTACTGACTCCAGGGTCTAAAATGTGTGTGGGGTGTGTGTGTGCATGACAGAGAGAGAGAGAGAGAGAGAGAGAGAGAGAAAGAGAGAGAGAGAGAGAGAGAGAGAGAGAGAGAAAGAGAGGGAGAGACAAACACAGAAAGTTCAGTGTTGGCTTATTTTAGTAAAATTCTACATTTTCTCCAAGACTTGTATATAGAAAAAATTACTTTCAATCTCTTTCATCCTGTTTTTGTCCTTTATTCTCTAATGAGAGTCACCTATATTTTTTTTTCCTATTTGTATCCTGATGACATACAAAATGACTTTACATCTTTAAAGCAGTTCTACACAAATGGTTTAACTAAGCATCAGCAAAGAACAAACTTGAAACCCCAGCGTCTTTGAGTCCCTTCTCACAGCAGTTTAGTGTGTGCTCTGCCTGAACATCAACCTGGCAAATGGTCACTGGCTCCAGTCTCACAGTTATCACGAGAACACCCAATCTCTTTTAGGCAACTCAAAAGCCCATGCTGCCTTAAAAAAAAATGATAACGCTTGCAAAAAATCTTAGAATTCTGGTTTTTAGGCCCAAAGAGTCATTCAGACTCATGGATAGCCACATAATTTATTTCATCCCCGTCCCAACTCACTCACTTTTTCTCCCCACAATTAAAGTTATTGCCTTTTATGATGTTTCAAAGGCCTGTATGCTTGTTAAAAAATATTCAACAAAGGCAAAAAGGTGTTAAAAGAAACCAAAATCATCCACAATTACCAATCTCTGGAGATAATCAGTTAACATTTTTGAGTATAATATATCCCAGATTGTTTATATTATACATATTTTTTTTTTTACAAAAGTGAGGATCATATTATTCATACTAGGTTGTAATATGTTTGCACTTAACATGTCACAGAATCTATGTTAATAAATCTAATGACTCATCACTGTAGTTACTGCATAGTGTCCCATTGTGTAGATCTTTATAATTATCAACATGGTCTCCTGTGGATGGGCATTCAGGTTGTTTATAACTTGGTGCAGATAGTCCTGCCTGCTTTTCTAATTGCAGGATGGTCTCCAATTAGAAACACAAACAAAGGGTCTTCGTTTTTCATTTCCCACAAGTCTACACTGAGGATAAATTCAATGACATCTATCATTTGTCAGTGGTATTTGTGCCAAGAAGAGTGAAAAGGGAAAACATATTAATGTAACTCCTTCTCTCACCTCCCCGACCAGAGCTGGCAGAGGAGGACTGCGAGGTCCTGACTTTGCTGGCCGTGGAGCAGCCAGATAATCCACGGTGGCCGGGTCACGCCAACCTGCCAACAGCCAGGGGGTGTTCTTCCTTCCTTCCTTTTTGTTTCTTTCAAAAATATTTATAAATAAGAAGACAAATGGAATTTATGTCCTTGCTTTGCCAGCCAGTCCTCTTTCTTTCTAAAGCCTTATTTTGCTACCATAACAAGTTAAAATAAGCATAATTTGTGCAGCTTTTCAATCCAGATTGAAACACTTTCAACAAGGTCCAGGCCATGATTCTTCACTCCTCCTCTTTGTAGGATAATAAATCTCAGACAAAGCAACTGCCCCTTTAGAGTGCTCTACGCATGCCGGTAAAATGGTCTGAATCCTAATTCAGTGAATCTCATGCTTGAAAAGAAGTGAGACTTGCCGGAGAGAATGCCAACATGATCAATAAGAGCTCTGTGGCTTCTTTACTAAAGGTTAACTGCACTTTTCTTTCCATTCATAGACTCCTTACCCATATATGCTGCCCAGTGCAGAGCACGTCGGTCCTTCTTGTCGAATGCATTGATGTTCGCCCCTTTAGCTAGGAGTAAATTGACCATCTGAAAGAAAACCAACAGTGAAATAAGGGTAATAGTGAGCACTCCGCACCACCTGCAGGTGATCTGAGTTAAATTAAAATAAAATCTAAAGGCAGATCAGAGACATGGAGTTCAAAGTAATAAGATGATGTCACAGCCAACCCCGTGGCATGTGTGTCAGAGGAAAAGACTGAGGGGACAGCTACTTTCTCCATTCACTGTGGCTCTAAATTTAAAATACGGCACAGTTGCGAGGATTGGTGTACAAATATCAGATTCTCAACTATCTCAGCAATAAGATTGGGTTCCACTTGGGACTAAGAGGGTTTGTAGGGAGGATTCTTGTTCACAGCAATGAGGACACCCACCTCCACATGACCATTCAGAGCGGCATGGTGCAAAGCTGTGCGTCCCCCTCGGTCGGAGACATTGACGCTGCTCAGCAGGGGAATGATCACTTCTGCACACTTGACAGCCTTATTGGCCGCTGCCACGTGGAGGGGGGTCTGCCAGTTCTTGTCCCGTGCATTGACATCAGCCGAGTGCTTAATCAACACTTGCACTGCTTCCTACAACAAAAGCAGAGTTTGCAGAGATCACTGGCAAATGTTCGGTCAATACTTGTTGGGTCTAAGTCGCTTCCCCAGATCCTGGACCTATAGAGATGGAAGGCTCCCTGCCGTCACAGGCTGGCTCAAGATATTTATTCTTCTGAGACAAGCAAGATACTATGTGATTAAGCTTGGAAGAGTGGCATAGATTAAAATAAAATCACTTTACCTTTCTTTGTTCCACCGTGAGCCCTGGCACATTCCAAAACCAAACCTTTATAAGTATAAAGTAGCCTTAGGCTGAATGAGGGCACTCATGTACAAATGTGCACAGCAGGCTAAAACATCCTCAGGCCAAGAGCCCTCAAAGACCATCTAAGGTTACAGGCATTTGTCAATAAGCCTCCATCTTCCGAAACCAAAGGCCTCAAAGTCCTCAGACATTCTAGATCTATTTATAAATCATTGGTTCTCTCAGCTAGCACCAGAACCTCACAGCCCAAGAGATGTCAGTGGCTTAATGACTGGTATTCACTAACTCAGCAGACCAGGCAGGTCTTCACTGCCTGTGCCTGCTTGTCCCTCTATATTTTTAATTGGCATATGTAGAATGAGAGTGAAAAGAAATTAACTTTGCAAGTAAGAGAATACAGTGTAAATAAACAGTATGACTCCATTTAGATGTTATAAATATAGGGCAATAAACAGATAGGGCCCAAGTACGATTACTGAAAAGGAGAGAAAAAAAAGATACATGGCATCTAACCTCCACAAGACTGACAATAAAGGAATGATGGTTACTAAACATTCCTGGAGTCCATGTTAGAGTGAAACATGTGTACACATATTATCAACACTCACCTACTATGTGTGAAACACTGCTAGAATTTGCAAGATTGAAAGAAACGTTGGCCAGGCTCAATCCTAAAAACTAGCTGGGTAAACAAATAATAAAAGAAAAGTGAAATCACAGTACAAGCATTAAGGTTTAAATAAGAAAACATAATATTTTTATCAAATTTGGTCTCAAAAACTGAGATTTATGTAGATGCACTATCTGTAGTGGTGTGGAAAGAAAATACTGGAACCTCCATTTACACATATTTTCTTTAAAAAGAAAAGCATTTAGCTGATATTTAACTTTTGGACTGGCATTGTGCCCTCAGTCAGCTCACAGAGGATCTTGTCTCACAGTATTCGTGATGCCCTCAAGGAGGAGTGGGACTTCCACAGTGCTGGGGTAGTGGGGCTTCAAGTGCACTGAAATGTACAGTGATGGGCCTGCCAAGTCAATTTACAGATGGTAATATGTACCCTAAACTAAAAATACCTTAAAATGTACAAGACTGATGCAAGGAACCTACAGATTAAACATAGTAACACCAAGGCAAGCATAAATACCATGGAAGTCACAAAGCTGACACATCTTCTACTTCAAGTAAAAGCTTCCTATAACCCATATTAAAAGGTTAAAGTAATGACAAATTTAATCATATCTGACAAGAGCTTGGCCAAAACAGAGAAAAATCATCATAAGTCTATCATCTACATGGTTATATAAGACTATGATAAATGAAAACCCTCACCCTAAGTATATTGCAACTCAAACATACTAGTTGATTGTAGTTTCTATATGTAATTTATAAATAAATGAGATGTATATTTTGAAGAGGCATGATGAAAATGTTTTACAGATACATAGCCAAAAAATATTGGAGAGAACCATCTCAAAGGAATACTTCATATAAAAAAATCGCATAGTATCTTTTTCACATATTCCCAGCAAAATAATAATACATAATATTTTAATACCTTTGCCATGTATATTATTTATATAATCTGTACTTGCACAGATTCATACTTTGCATTAAATATTGTATAAATTCACTATAGACTAACAAAACAAAATATACAGGAACATTTCACAAATTTATATTATTTGGAGATAAGACCAATAATTTATGAAAACTTGTTTTTAAGCCTAATAAAACATGACTACTTTTAAAATAACTCAGACCAGGTGAACAAGATATTACCTAGGAGAAACTCTACTTCTAAATTAATATTTAAGAATGATTTTCACTCCACACAAAGCAATAGGTTAAGGAAAAAATATATATATACTTATATGCCAGTTATAGATGATATATATGTGCTTTTAGAGTTTGTGAGGGAGAAAAAAAACCTGTACTCTTAAATAGGCAATACCTCCTGAAAATATCTTAATCACAGAGAAATTCTGGTCTGTTTTTGTAAATAAAGTTTTATTGGAACACATACTCATTTGTTTACATATTATCTATGGCTGTTTTTCAATTATAATCATGGAGCTGAGCATTTGTGACAAGAGACCCTACGTAGTCATCAAAGCCTAAAATATTTACTACGTGGTCCTTGATGACAATGGGACCTCCTGGGCTTGCTCCCTATTTGAATTACTACAAAGTGCAAACTATCAAATCTGTCTAAAACAAAACATTGTTATTTACCACCATGAAAAAAATACTGTTTTGAGTCCAAATCATCTTCAAAGGAGGGAAAGTCCTGTTAAAAGCATCAGAGGCCTCTGTGTTTGGCCCTTCTATGCAGTGGTGGGCCCACAGTGAGTTTGGAAGGGTGCTGTACAGAGCTGCACCACTCTGCAGAGCAGAGGAGAAGCATCTAAAGCTTGGCAAGAAGGAAGGGGTGAGGACAGAGAGAGGAGAGAGGACATGGCCCCTGCGCCCCAGGGCAGAGGTGTACATCTGGGTGGGAACAGAGTCATCAGGCAAGAGGGAGGAGGGGAAAGCTTACTCATACACCAAACAAATGTAACAGGACCAGGCTTGCACAGCCCGGCAACCAAAACCCAAAGAATTCTCCAGGAATTCTTTGGAATCATTGGGAGACTATTAGACTCTACACAAGATATGGTACATAGTTCCCAGTCAGGCACATCTGTTCAGAAGGTAAGATGTTATTGACCAACATCTGGGTCACACTTGAAAAATCAGAAAAGTTTCACATTCATTGATCAGATGGGAAAAAAAGAAGTGCATAAGGTCTCTAGTAAATCTCTTTCTATGTGAGCTTTAAGCAATTACCATGTGAGTGCCAATTTTACCACACTTTTCTTTCAGACCAGCATTCAACTTGTACAGTTCAGGGACACCTAGAATGATCATTACTTTTACTCTCTACTTCTCTAAAATGTTTTAAGTTTTGCCATTCTTCATTTTTATTTCTTTATCTGCTTATTGCATAGTTTATTAATTGCATAGTTTTCAACTTACTTGACAAGAAAACACTCTATCAAGAAATACTTAGTATTTAAAAAAATACTTACTATACAAAGGAGGAGTTCTTAATTTCCAAAAATTAACTTTTTTATATGAAAATACAAGCAGTCTAAATGATTATGGAATTAAATTATGGACATATAGTATAGCAGAAGTGAAGAAGGTTCAGGGGTCATCTAGTCTAACACCTTCATTCGATAGGCATCGTTGCTTTAAAAGCAAGATGACTGAAGTCAGGGCAGTGATCTGCCCGCCTGACTAATTTAAGAGCGATTGCATTTCCTACTGGTCCAGAGCTTACTCAATGGGCAGTAAAAGCTAAGCACCTAGACATAAATATTTTAAAGTTAATTTTCCTTAGTTATTTACACTTTTAAAATCTAAAGTTTTAGCCTGCCACACTGGCTTAAAATATTTATAGAAATTTAATATATTATTTCAGCAAAAACAAAGCTTTGATTTAAAGAGACAACAATTTCCTTTTTTAAAACTTACAGTTCTCTTTCAAAAATTTTAATCGTGGAAGCACTTTAACTTGGTTTTAAGAGAGTAATTTTATGGCTATTTAGGGAATTGATTTTTGTAACCAAAAGTAGTCTCTTTTTTTCCTGTATTGCACATTGGCTGAAAATTAGTATGTAGGAGTTTTTACTGTCAGAAATTTATAAAGTAAAAAAGAAACTAATCTGGGGGAAGGGAAGCAGAACACTTACTGAGACAAGAAAGATAGACAGTGCTTCTCAAATGATCTGTGGTGAAGAACAGTTTTTTAAAAATTATTATTTCAAATCCATCATGAGCTAATACTTTTTGTAAAATACAATAAAAAGTAATTGGTAGAGCAAAATGAGAAAAAAGACAAGGACAAAAATTATTAGCTCAATCATTTTATTATTAAGTATAGCAGGTATGACATTACTCTATCAAAGTGCTCTAAAAGTTTCTGAATGCTTACTCTTACCATGACAGGTAAGACAAAAAGGTCACGGGCCCAGACCAGTAACCAGGCCACACTGAGCAGAGTTCCTTCAAAGGCTTTGTTTCTTTTTTTTAATGAACAAGCACATGTAAGGACTCCAGTGTTTCTCCTGAATGGAGGTATCAACCCAGTTAACACTCAGTTTCAGGACTGTAGGCCTTGATTATACTCCATAGTAGGCTGGCCTATATAACACAGAAATAACAGACAGAGGGAGACACTGTCATGGGATGTCACACTGGAGGGAATTGGAGATGGCACTTGCAGTCACTTGATTTCTACTTTTTATGATTTTTCTTTTTTTTAAGAAAGGTCACTCCAAGCCTGTAGTAAGAAGTAGAAACATACTCCGTGGCACACAGAAAAGATGAGAAATAGGAAGCATGTGTCTTAAAAACTGTCACCCCTAATATCTGTTTCCTTACTCTCAAATGTGCATTGCATTAAGTGATCACAAATTACTCATGGAAAAGTAATTGTTTGTGACTATACAGAGTCCTTGCAGGTATGAGCAATGTCAAATTTTATAAACTGTAAGTTGCTTTCGACCAGGGTCTGAGTCTTGTAACATTTTTTGTATTCTCCACAAAGCCTGGCAAGTGCCTTGCACATGTTGACTAGTTTCAGATAGAATAAAGACCTTGGCGAAACCATTAGCAAGCTCTCTAAGTAATAATATGCATGTATTAACAAGACATTTGCTTGGGCTGATAACTCTGAAGCTGCGCTCAAGTCCTGAAGGCTTTTACTCTATTTCTATA